ATTATTAAAAACTGGATCATTGGATAATGCAATTCAAGACTTTTTATTGGCTCAGCCATTATGGTATATGAGCCAATATACCATAATCTAATTTCTGTACATTGTTAAATCCGGTTTCTTCTCACAAAATAAAGTCGAGAAGATTTGTCTAATATCTTGGGGGCGTTTTTTTAATAAAACAATTATTCCACTCTCGCTTGTTGGATATGAGATGATTATAGCCAACGAGGCGCTACGCGCCTCGTTGGCTATCTATCATCTCATGTCCAACGCGCGCTTGTGGAATAAATATATCTTATTAACCAAGCGCGAGGGCCGTACTGGGAGAATATCGGCCCGAGGTCTTGACAGTACGGACCGAGCGCAGCGAGGTCCGTACAAAAAAGACCAAGGGCCGATATTCTTCCAGTACGGTCCCGAGCAAGCTTGGTTAATAAGAGATTTATTATACGACTGAAGTTCAAAGGGACACAAGTGCAGTATCATTCGGGACCATTCGGGACAGTGCCCGGTCCAATACTTAGAGAATATTGGACCGGCAATAGAGCATTTTGATTGACTGATTTTAGTTATTGGCCCTCTGACTGCCCGAGTCGTGTAATAATTGTTAATTATTCCGTCCTAGTACGTGCAGACTGCTTTTCTCGTTCTAAGTCATATGAAGTCAATCTTCTTTAGCTTTCCTGACAGCACGAACACCTATGACCATCTTTCCTTTCCTTCATCAAAAAAGTACAGTTTGAATGTTTAACCTGTATATGATGCAATTCCTAAGTTAGATTCCGAGGTTACAAATATTCGCGGCTCTAATAAAGGGTTCAAGGGAGGGGAGGGAAATAATCTACCTCTTACGGTTGAAGAGATGTGCCAAACCCTTCAATGACAATTCCACTTAACACTATGTCACACATTCCAGACAAGAGACCTAAGAAAATTTAGGATTCAGGGACTTAAGGAGATTCAAAACCGTTTGTTATCTTAGGTAGCTCCCATTACTTGATAGTTCAATACACGTTTTTCATTTGTGTCTGAAAATGGTACAGCCTCACTAAATTGACCAATCATAACACATAATATATTTACTGAGAGATATAATGGAAGATAATGAGACAATAAAATTTCTCTTACAAACTTTTATTTAGAACTGTAGTATTCACATAACTTATACATTATTTTCCCATGTTTTATTCATAATCCTTATAAATCATGACAGATGTTACTAAAATTTTCCCTATAATATGTAAGCTTCTAGCTGATGTTCATAACTAGTTACCCTTAGTGACAGATGCTGTCAGGGAAGATGAACCACCTGCCATCTAAGGCTTGAAATTAAAGTTTGTGGCTTGCATATGGCTTTCTAAGTATTGCAGTTATCACTGAAAATTCACAGCCTGAGATCACTGAAAGTTATTTAAAATTAGATAACAAAACCACCCTCAACTAAGTTATCATCATGGCTACATACTATACTCCTGAGCAAATGAAATTGGAGACTTCGTCAGACTACTATATACTCTGCTACCATTAACATTACATCCTAACTATTATGACATTATTTTATAGCTCTGAATCATACAAAAATATAGTGAATGAATGGTACTATATCTCATCTGCAAAAGTCATTTAGCATTAGGAATGATATTTCATTCTGGTGAATCAGGTATGATACTTTAATTAAAAGAAATTTATTGTTACAGATTTGATTCGTTTAAACTGGTATTTATCTTACACTTTTGACAGGTCATTCCCAATGAAGCTACCTTTGTTCTCCTTTTTGTCTGTAACTAGGAATGTTTGTTACTCCAACTAGTAATGCTAACAAGAATAATTATGTATAGTTCTCATTAACTCTATCTGGTTCTAGTTACAACAAAGCAAAACAAATTCTTCATTTAAGTTAAATAGGATTCTTCTCTTGATAATATCTCTTTAACCATATGGAAAGGAAGGAAATGTTCAGATATTTTATTCTCAAGGAGGGGAGGGTGGCAGCCATGTTCAACCTAAAATTTTAGGTACTACATGTGGTTAACTTAATGTATACTTATCTATTTGTGATAAAACTATTTGCCAAATTACACCAATTTTAATTTCAAGAAAAGTATGTTACATTATCAAATCAAGCCGGTCTTTCCTCACAAAAACCTGAAAAGAATTATCAGAAAATCTGCAGTAATTTCAAGACCCAACAGAGGAGTGTGACACCGCCTATTGAACTCCCAAGTCTCCCCTCAAATTTCTCAGTCTTCCTATTAAGTCTAAAAATTGTGGTATACTATGTGCTGTACATATTGTTTCCAGAATTTAAAGTTTTTGGTGGAAAAATTGTGTGAGAGAGTCGGAAAGCCTTTACAAAGTTGACTGTGGGCCTACTAGTCTGGTTTGCCCACTTATGTTGATGCATGACGTTTGTCAAGTTTAGACATACTTGGTAAAGACATCAAACAATATTGTCTTCTACAAAATGGATTGACAGCTGACAATTTTTTTTGTGCCAGCCTAAACAACAATGAGTGATGAGCCAGTTGATAAAGTCGTGTAATTTGAACCAAAAACTGTTGTACTGGAGTACAATATTAAATTTCCATCAACAATACTGGTTGTTCATTTAGTGGATGATGTGACACTTTTTATTTGGGCTGCAACCTCCTTTTGCACTGCAAGTGTCTGACTAAATTTCTGTTCCACTAAATTAATTGAGGCAATGGCTTGGAAAAGAGGTCCTGCAGGAATATCATCTGGTAACTTTGAGAGAAACTGGCCAAGGCGAATGAAATCCATGTCAAGTAATTCATCTTGGTAAAATTTCAATATTCCTGTTAGAGAAGTACAATTTTAAATTCAATTGACACATGACAATTATCTACAGAGCAACTAGAATCCTTGACAAATGGTGCAAAGTGAATAAAAAATTACTTAAAAATATTATTCTCTCTACCTACATGCAATACATGACTGAAAAATTATATTTTCTTAGAAATAAATTTCTACTTGATTGGAGTATTGTGGTCTTAGAACAAGACAAGACCTCTCAAGTGCAATTTTCAGTGCTTACAGTGACTGGAACTTTTAACAAACTTAAAAATACAAGATCATCAGTGTGAAACTCACCCAGTGCAGCCCTGAAAAGGAATTCTTCTCCATCTCTGCAGAACACATCCCATACTCTGGAAGCTATGTCCAGTGGTAATGACTTGCTAAATAATGTGAATGTCCTGCAATGATTTAAATAGATCTTGTTGACCTTGCAAGAGATTATTACCTTGTGGTCAAGAGATTATTAGCTCTGAAAATAATTATTGGTTCTAGCTCAACTCATGCTTGTATCTTAACTTGATTTTCATAAAAAGAAAGTACTGGACCTCCTGCTTATTTCAAGTTATCTGGATGTAATGGGCAAACAGTTGCAATAATTTGATCATAATATTTTCTAGTCATTTATCCAATGATATATATACATTTAATATTGGTTGCCAATTCATCTGAGGGTTTATTAATACTTACTCAATTTTATGTTGTAAATCAATAGAAAAAATACAGTGAAGACATCACAAATGAAACAGAATAATAATCTATTCTTAAAGACAAAATTTCACATAATTCTGAAAAAATTCTAAAAAAAATAAAATCAAACTAAATACAGCCCTCACCAGTCAATTAAGTACATGTCTGGAGTGAAGTTTTCTTCAATAAAATGTGCATGAACTGAGGGTAGGAACTCTTCCAAAAATATTTGAAATGCTGCAAAGTAAGCTACCATCTGTGGAAGAAACAAAACATCAATCAATGTTTACATATTTGGTACACATTATGTCAGTTGTTTTATGATTGCTTGACCACCAAATAAAACAGATGTAGGGTAGAAATGAAAGCAATCTAACCTACAAAGACTTCCAAGTTCAAATGGCAATCTAATGCAAAATGGGAAGGCAAAACTTTCTGACAGCACTTACCATTGGGTGATCCACTCTAAAGAATGCAAGTTGACAAGGTTTATTGAGAAGGTTTGCAAAACAAATGAATGCATCAGAAGGTTCCATATTTAGCAATAAAACTGCTGCAAGAAAGGACATTCCCTGAACCTGAAAAAAAGAAAAAGGTTTCTCATGAAAATAAACTGAGTTATAATTAACTAATTGAATGTGTAGAGACAACTTTTACAAACACTTCTTTCTCTATTGAAATACTTTGATAAATATCAGAGAATACAAATTGCCAATTTTAAATTTGTTACACTATAAAAATATTAGCTATTATTTTGTTCCACAACAATGTGACAAGTTCCATAAGCTGTTACTACAGGAGCACAAATATTTCATAAGTTTTTCTTCAAGATAAGTTAGTCTAGAAGATTTAGAAAGTAAGAGGAAGACAATCAGTAGAAAGCACAAATTCAATTACTGAAATAACTGTGTGAATTGTGTTTGCTATTACAAGTTATGACTTTGTGAACAACTTTTGCATCAGAACCACTTGTAGTTTATCTTATGGAAAAACAAATACCTTAGATCTGCAAAAAAAATTGATGATGACAATGAAATAAAATTAATTAAAGAATACAGTCCAAAAAGCAATGGAAGGTTTAAATTCTCACAAAAATACACTGTAGCAAGGCAACTCGAGAAGTATAGTACTAAAAGCTACTGGGTCAACCAAAAAGGACTGAATAATGACTCACATATCCAACATCAGGTCGATAGCATGTGTATGCTCCTAAAATACTGTGCAGAACATCATGGAATGGGCCACCCTTTGGGAAAAGATCAACAGCAATTGCTTATTCTGAGCAACAAAAATTAATTACCATAAAATATGCTGAATTTGGAAAAGAAAAAGTTCTTGAAAAATTTCAGGGCTTCATCAAGATTTGAAAAATAACTTGTGCTATAACAGTGAAACGTACTATCAACTACATTATAAAGCTGAGCACTGAGAGCCAAAAGTTAATTTTTGCTTCCGCATTTCCTGTGGAAGACTGGACAGTAAATATCACAGAGACGCAGAACAGAGTGGGATAAATGTATATAACAAGATCTTTAATGTAAATAGGCTATTCATGAAAATTTTTTTTTTGTTACTGAAGTAATTCTCTCAGAAAGGCATAAACATAGTATTTAGATGACATTTGAGGCATAAACTTGTAAATGATTATTTCAGGGTTGTAAAAAAGAAGGAATAAGAAATATGCAGTGTAGCACAATTACCTCTTGAAAAATACAAAGCGATGGAAATGTGCGTGAAACATCCATGACAATAAGTTCTACTGTGTGAGCCTTACTGACAACTGGATGGTCACTGGCTGGCAGCTCTGCAACTGTCTGTGTAATGTTTTTCTGCTTGTTGAGGCGTGTTGTGAATAGTTTTTCATATGCATGGGACTGAAATATGTCAAATAATTCTGAAAAAGAGTCATAATACTTAATTAATAGTGCAATTTTAAGTAATTCATCCATTCACTATTGCTCACAAGGTTAAACCAACCTTGAGTAATGTGTAAATCATTTCCAATAGCAAGCTTCCAGACTTTTCCACGCACACTTGGTGGGAGGCCCAGCCACCAAAGTTCTCTTGTTTTCTTTGCATGCTGCCTAAATGAAGACATAAAGAATACATTCTCATTTATCAATGAATTTATTACATGTCCCATTCTCAAGGGAGAGTAAAAAAAAAAAGAAATTTAATAATAATTATCTTACATTGTTTCCCAGTTGGGCAATATTTCGCTTGTCCAAACAGAAGCAGCAGAGACAATTCCATCTTCCTGTTTACATTTTTCTTTAAGTCTTTTCTCTTGCAGCTTTAAATCTTTCAGTTCTACAGTTACAAAGTAAAATTAGTGGTCACATGATTGACTCTACATTGAGAAGTTCAAGCCCCAGCCCCCTAGTTGCGGCAAAGTATAACACTTAAACTCCCATGAGTAATCAAGACAGAAATATTTCCTTACAAATATTATATCAGATACAATATCAGATACAATATCAAGCAGACAAGTGATGAGAATAAAAAAGAAATATATCGATTACCTAAGGGATTTTTTATTAATCCATTATCAAATTATCTGAACTAACATCATAAAATATTAAAGTCCCTATTCACCCTCAGAGGTTTATATATATTTAGATTCTTTGCGTTATCAGGATTAATCTCCAAAAAAATTTTTTGATTGATTAAATATTTCCTGAGATATGCCACCTCAAAGTTTGTCCTTTGGCCACACCCTTTTGATTTGGCTGGGCTAAGTTAATACTGGTAACTAAAAGCCCCTTATGACGTCACAACAAGAATGTCTTTTGATCGATGTGCCTACAGTTTCTTGAATGTGCAGGGTGTAAAATTAACTTTTTTTCCGGTAGCCACTTGGCTCCTAAATATTTTAAAGTGGTAGCCATTTCCAAAAAGTTGGTGGCCATTAAGACACACACACAAAAATAATTTTTACCCTGTCACTGTACTAGATAGATTAACATATCATAGTGATATATCAAACAACAAAAAACATATGAAACATAGGTATGAACTGCGGTTATGAAACGTATATGTGCACAATCCTTCGCAGTAAAGCACTATTTGAGCAATAGTGAAAATCAGACCTGAAAAAAATTTCAGGCCTGTACGGGATTCGAACCACTGACCTCTGCGATACTAGTGCAGCGCTCTACCAATTGAGCTAACAAGCCAACTGGGAGCAGGCCATCAAATTAATTCTACATAAACCAGTAGATGATAAATCAAACAACAACAACAAACATATGAAACATATGTATGAACTGCGGTTATGAAACGTATATGTACATGATCCTTCGCAGTAAAGCACTATTTGAGCAATAGTGAAAATCAGACCTCAAAAAAATTTCAGGCCTGTACGGGATTCGAACCACTGACCTCTGCGATACTAGTGCAGCACTCTACCAATATCAAGCAGACAAGTGATGAGAATAAAAAAGAAATATATCGATTACCTAAGGCATTTTTTATTAATCCATTGTTGTTGTTTGGGCTTGTTAGCTCAATTGGTAGAGCGCTGCACTAGTATCGCAGAGGTCAGTGGTTCGAATCCCGTACAGGCCTGAAATTTTTTTCAGGTCTGATTTTCACTATTGCTCAAATAGTGCTTTACTGCGAAGGATCGTGCACATATACGTTTCATAGTGATATAGTCATGCAAACATCAAAAATGAGCCCGCTAAATTCGCATGAGCTACAAAGAGCTAGGATACTAGAATGGATCATAGACAACTTTATAGTTTACCTAAATCCAAGATGGTGTCTAGTGATGGTAGATTTACGTTCAACATTGTGCATGTGCTGCATTTTGGAAAAGAGCTTAACGAGGAACTTTGCTCCAGATTTATCTTTACAAATCTTCAACAATCACTAGATCTCTAAGGTGTGATTAGAAATTCTAATCACCAATTTGGCGACTAATTTTCAGGATTTGGTCGCCAAACTGAAAAATTTAGTCGCATTGGTGCCTGTATTAGGCGCAATTTTACGCCCTGATATGCCTTTAGATGAATCTGGTGTATTTAAGCAACCAGCGACCACACAACGGGTTGGCATTTTCACACCATTTTACAGCAATAGACACATTCTTATACAAGAAGTTAGCACTTGTTCTTGCTGTGATGTCACTCGGCCCAGTAATTCTCTCCCAGCCAAGTCAAAAGGGCGTGGCCAAATGAGTAAGTTTGAGATGGCATATCTCAGGAAATATTTAATCAATTGCAAACATTTTTTTTGGAGATTAATCCTGATAACGCAAAGAATCAAAATATATCTAAACCTCTGAGGGTGAATAGGGACTTTAAACAACAGAGAGTAAGAAGAATTACTTATGAGATTGTGTGAGTGAAAGCAATACAGACAGTTGAAAAATGTCAGGGATTACCTGTAAATTGATTTTGTACCAATAGTTTCCTTTTGTTTTCTTATTTAACGTTGCTTATACATTACATAAACATAATCTTTCCAAGCTTGAAGGAATTTCTTAATGTTCTCCCTAATAAACTCAAAATAGACAAGTCTTCAAACAAAACTATGTTACTTGAGCTAAGTCAACTGCTACTTCCATCACCTTTTTTCTTTGCTTCAGCCACCATGGCCTCATATTGCCTTCTGTGCTTTTTCTCCTCTGTGGGTGACTTGGCTGGAAGGTTACTGAAATTTAAAAGACAAAACTCAGCTTAAACATTCATTGGAATATATCCCCGACATCAAGGCAAACTAGATTTTTTAAAAATCTTTCTTAACCCAAAGAAGTGTGAGACTGCCCTGCTTCCATTATTTTTATTTTTACGAATAAAATGTAATTTTTCAAATCTGTTTAAATGAAATTCAACACTACATTACCTGGTATTTATTCAAGAAGGGGGAAAAGCAGTATCATGAAAAGAAAACTAGAGGTTATCTTAAAAAGATATGAACTGCATATGCATTTTGTACAATTAACAAAATGAGATATTTAAAACTATGTACTTTCTGAGAAGGTTTAAGTTATAATTTATAAGCACAACTAACCCTGCCTATTCTAGGATAAAATGTGACTTATTCATACCTGGGTCTGTTTTCAAAAATAAGAGCAGTGGTTGAGCTGCCTGTTGTCACCTTCTTCCTAATTGAAAGAAACTTGGATTTGGAGGTTGGACCAGTTGATGAAGGCTTATCACCAAAAGACCTGCGCTTCAAATCTCCTGAAAATTGAAAAATAAAGGTTAACATTCTGAGCAGCAGACTTAAAGCAAATCTTTCAGGGACAACATATAATGTAATTTCAGGGTACAATGTACCTCCCCTTAGAGGACCAACAACATTGTCTAAAGTAGGACAAGAGCTAGGATGGTACAAAAGTGATAAAGCTCCCACTGTTATAGCCCAGGTTTGAATCTTGCATCTTGAGTCTGATCCCAAATGTTGTTGATGATATTATTGTTGCTGTTTAGTTTTCCTCCCTCCATAAAATCCAAAACTTTAAATTTCAATTAGACCTGGAATGTGCACATAAGGTACCTCCTTTAGGATGTACCATCCCTAAAATTATGTTTATGAAATCTTTCTTTGAAGTAAAAGAACTAGGGTGCGCTTTCCTACTCTTTTCTTGAAACAACACTTTACATGTAACACTTTCCAATGCACAGGGAACAGGGACACAAAGTCTAAACCGCACTCTGCCATGTTGAAGGAGTACTCTAATGGGCTCTCCCTTGGGTGGATTAGAGAATACAAAGGGCCACATTTTCATGAATTTAACAACAACGAGCAGAGGTTGATTCAAGGTTTTCAACAGTAAGGCAACGTACTGTATGTACATGTATTTTCTTTATGTATACTACACTGAAGAAATGCCACAATCAGGAAGCAGTATCATTAATCTTAATCCTCTCTGTGGAAAACAGAAAACACAATGTACTTATGGTTTCAAAAATTATTTCTGAAAAATTAAGAAGAGTAGAACACTATGCAGATTCACATACTATAACTCAGCTCAGGCAACTTAACCTCTGTTTTGTTTTGTTTTTTTTTTTAAATTGAGCTTTTTAAATTTCATCTTTTTTTTTTTTTTGAAGTACACATGAACATTCATATACTTTACTATACTTATGCCCGGCTATAAGGAAGTATGAATTGACAAAAATCCCTGACCTCTGTCAAATGATGATGACTGGATATGAGAATCTTTGCTGTTATCTCTTGCATCCTTAGCAGGAATCTTCCCAAATAACTTCCAACCAGGAACAAGTTCCTTTTGAGTTGACTTTGAGAACAGACCTCTAAAGGAAAGCACGAAAATTTATGGATGCAAGAAATTTCTCTACATCAACAAAATAAAGAACATTGATAAACAATTTACAGGCACCAGAAGCACTGGGGATATACAAAGTCATGTGAGTGCAAACAGGTAAATTTAGCAAAGCCTAAAAGTGGAATGCTGAATGTTATTTCCTTGGCATGTATAATCAATGAAATCAAGCCCCTACTGATCATGGCATGCATTCGTGAATTATTCTCTTTTTAACAAATTTACTCAAACCTTGGTCAAGACATAACAAAAGCAACAAAAATAATATGTAATGAAGGATGAAAAGTCTTTGAAGACAGCACTTATATAATGATTATGTTCTTAGAATCAAATTGCCTGAAGAGCATGTTCACCTGATTCCATCTTGGAAACTACAAGCCAAAAGTTTTTAGAAATGAGCGCATAAATAATTAAGTATCCCTTCCACAAACCATAAAGAATATTTGTGATGTGGCAAAATTTATGCATGCTGTATAATATTACACAGATCCAAAAAAAACTCTGAAGCTACATGTTACGTAAAAGGAACTTGGCAAGACTCCTAACAAGTCAAGAGCAATTTCCTGTGCATCATAATACACGCATACTTAACATTATTAAAAGAAACTCTGAAGTACTACTCAGCCAGGTGAACAATAAATGCCAAAATAAAGAAAAGTTGAGATTAACAATCAACAATGACAGGCTATAGCTAATAAAACAAATCCTTTCCTATGTATTTTCAACAAATTATGCAAAATTAATAATGTGTATATAAATCAGAGGAGCAATATAGAAGAGAAAGATCCATGCGCAACACACAATATTCTACTAGTTTGATTAAATGAACAATATTAAATGGTAAAACCTTTTATTCACATTTTCTCTCAAAGCTACAATGCAAGATGACCATCTTTGACATGCATAATTAAAAAACAGCATTTGACCTCATTTTTTTTGTTTGTACTGCAAGTAAAATGGTTTACCTTAGGAAGTTTCTAAATTTGTAATTGAAGCTAGTATTTAATCACGTTTAAGTTTCACAGGGCAATATTTATCTTTTTCTTAGACCAATGATGCTAAATTTTGGAAACAAGCTCACTTCTAAATGCAGCACTGCCTGCACTTTCAATTTCGTGATGGCTCATGTTTTAATTACTGCTTATCCACACACCACAAAGCAGATCATGAAATTTATAGGTGATAGTTTACAACGTTATAACACATGCTGTGAAGTGAATAAAAAATTCTCATTGACAACTTACTTTAGTTTGCCCTGCTTTTGTGACTTTTCTTGATCTGTAACAGGAACTGTCTTCATACTTGAACTTGGACTAGGAGCGTAAGTATTGGAGGATTTCGGAATCCAGGCTGCCACTGTTTCGTCTATGGCAAATCTGGATATCTGCTTGTACAGGTCGGGGCTATATTGAGAGTTATTGAGTGGGATCTCTTCCAGTTCTTCGTCTCTTACGGTAGAGCTAATTCCACTATCCTCAGTACAACTAGTAACTGACGAACACGCACTGAATTCCACATCACTACTTGGTGACTCTGACGATAGAGCACCATCTTTTTCTAAGTTTGTACTCCTGTAGGAGTTCTTCCCATTTGTCCATTTTACAAAATTCTTATCTAGAAGATCGTCTGAAGAATTAGCTTTCTGTCTGACGAGGGGAAAAACTTCATCACTTTCCTCAACTGAAGGTTCCCTGTGGTGATTGGAACCAAGGAGATTTTCTGAAGAACTGTTTACTACAGAACGATCTTGGCTCGCTTCTTCACCACGAGGAAATGTACATGTATCAGGATTAGTCGATAATTCGCGTACTTCTTCCGAAGATCTGACACTCTCTTGCTTTACTTTGTTGTGTTCTAACTCTTCTTCCACGCTAGCATCACGCTTTGTTTTCTCGCAGTCTTGCCGTACTATTTCCTCAGTTTCTGAAGAAAATTCTGTCGGGACCTCAGAACAAACAACTTTGGCGTTATGAGACTGTTCATCATCCGACAAGGGCTGGTCTGTCAATAAAGATTCATTGCAGTTCGTGTCATCAGATCCATTGTGATCTTCCTCTAATCTATTTGAACCCTCCGTTACGTGTTCAGAGATAACAGCATAATTCTTCACCGAACTCAACATTTTCGCTCAACAAATATTCCTATTATGAGTTTTTCGGGCACAAAACACCTTACGCGCGAGTCAAATTCAATTCCGACGAATATCCATTATCTTTCAACTTCCGTTCTCCTCTGCCACTCCGAAAACAGTTACATCTCTGATTAAGCTGCAACTGTTCTCTTTATCCTCAGGATACCAGGTGATAACTTTTGGCCGGGTTAAAATTAGCGGTACCGCAGTGTGACATCGTATCTAGAATCACCCGCCATGTTGGGTTCACAACTTCGTTGTTTATAACTCCCAGAATGCAAAGTCTCGGTAGGTTCCGAAGATGTTGGAAGTCTTCGGTTTGCTACCGAGAGCATTTCAGAGTAAACATGACAGGCTGTTTTAGTTGAGAAGATCGAATCGAACAATTACAGTTAAAAATGCAAGAAGACAGCCCAGGTAGTAGGGGAAAACGCACAAGAAATGAACGTTACAGTACACCAACAAAACCAAAGCAGTTGTCTGTGAAAGCTGCACGGCAAAAGGCAAAGGAATTTGCCACAAAAGATGACAAGCCTACTCGTGTGTTGGCAAAGCAAGCCATTTTAAAGGAACTCAGGGCTCAACTTGCTGTTAGAGCTCATGGTCTTGTTCCACGAAATCGAAGCGAGGAGGAAAAAGCTAAGAACGATCCAGGTGAGATGGTAGAAAACATGTTTTATTTGAACTAAAGTGTTTTATATTATCTGACACATGTTTGGCGGGAAATTTGAATATTATTCATGACCTTAGGTCATATGAGCCAACATTCTGCTTAAATTTATTCTTTTACTCAAATTTCATTCGCCTTTGTTACGGGCTATGTTAACGTGCGACAACGAGTTTCAAAGAACGAAAAACACAATTTGAACCCATGATGAAACTGGACCATGTGCACCACAGTATTACACCTACATGCAAATAATTATGACTTTGTGAAATTGCTTAATGTTGGGGTTGGGGTATGTTCTCAAAATTAAGTTCTCAAAAAACCGGTCTGAAGCACACAAAATATTGTGCATGCAGAGGTATTTTCAGCACTTTGCAGCAGCTCTATGCAATGCTATTATCTGCAGACCAGCATGGGGAATTTATGTGTTAATAACCATCAATCGAAATTCTTAATCCTCAAACTCAATAAATCACAGAATTTATAATCAATAATTATTTCAGTGCTCCTCTATTAGCTAAATATTTTCCTTTAAACTTGTTGGTGGTGGCAACCAACCTTGAAGATGCCAACTCTAGAGCTAGATGATGAGAGGGATGCTCAGTTGATTAGTTTTTTTGTGCTTAAATATCGTGGCCCACAAGTTAAACTTCAGACCCAACAACAGTTTCTTGGAAGTTGTGGCTAGCTTTGAAGGGAAGCTAGAAAGAAAGTGGCTGTTACTGTAAGCATGTATAAGAAGGTGCTGTTAGGGTATGTTGGCCTCTTTTATTTTTTGCAAAGAAGACTGAACAGCTTATTCGAACTTTTTTCCAGTGCATTTACCAGTAAGCAACACAAAGAAACAGGATAGAAAACCAGTTAAATCAACATCCAAGCTTCCGAGGTAATCATTTATCACCTTAAAAAAATACTTAACTGTAATCTGTTTTTTGTTGTCATACAGTTACTACAAAGTACGTGGAGTTGCAGAGACTCAATTAATGGGGAGAAGTTCTTAGTTTAATCTACAACTGCACTTCCTATGAGTTAATACTGCTGTAAAGATACTTTATAATGTAAAGCACAGCCCAGGGTTCTTTATATGTTTAATAAACAGAGTCTAACATCATCACCCTATTTGTTCAATTCTTAAACTTCTTGGGTAATTGTCTACAGAAGAGTAGATGGAGCCTATGCCAGTGTACAAAAGCAAGGACAAACAAAATCTGTCGTACAACCCAAGAAGAAGATTCCTCAACAAGAAGCAGGTTTTGCTGATAAAGGAGACAACCAACATGAAAAAAGAAGAAAAAGGTATGCAGTATCACTACTATTGATTGTTTGTGCTGCTTGAACAATCATCAATTTTTTGCACTTTGAACTTTCAAAATATTTTTGTATCTATATAGGTTTTTAGCTGAGAAGTATCTATTTATTTGGAAAAACAAGACCTATGGAAGGTTAACTCCAGCTACAGCAAGGTAAAAGTAAACTTGTTTATTTGCAGTAATGTCCTATAGCACTTGGTGAACTGAAGATGTGAATGTTATTATTTATTTTTTATAATTTACTGGTAATAGACTTTATTTATTTACTGTGCATGGGATTTGTGATCTATTTGCACTCTGAAATCTGATTTCTTTTTTTTGATTTAGTGTTCCATTCCTATTAGTTGGAAAAGGTGTAATTTTGAGTAGAAATAAGTGCATCATGAGAATAAATCTGAAAACCAAGGGTTTGCTAGGGTCAGCTGCAATGATTTCAAGATAGATGTAATAAATGATTATGAATTATCAAAATAAACAAACTGGAAAATAATGCTTCTTAGACAACTTGGGAACTATATAATTATCATGTGTTATTGACCAAGTGTAAGGTCAAGATGGCGTGATATTGGCCAGGGTTTTTCTTTTTGGGTTTTCATGGATCATGACAAGGTCAAGGTCCATAAAAATGCAAAAAAAAAAAATGAGGGTAATATCCAGCCATGGAATGAACAAGCTTGGTCAATAAAGAATTTATTATATCACAAAAAGATTTTGCTTTGATAAGTATCAAGAATGACTTGTACATTGCAAGAGCCTGGGAAGAAAGCTAACTGTGTTTGTAGCACAACAAACCCAGGGGGGTTGTTTATGTTTTCTTTGTTTTGACTGTCTTCTGCTGCTTTTTGTGACTTCATTGTTGACATTGTCCAAAAGTTACAAACTTTTTGCTTGTGTGAGATCAAAGCCCATCTTGATCCCTTAGGTAGCCAATCAGAGCACAGGATTTGCTTCATTTTGTCTACCTGCAGCACTGTTAGCTATATAATAAGGAAGATTAGGGCTATATAAATTTATAGATCAAAAATGTTTGAAAGGGGTTCTGTTGAGTAATTATTGTGTAACAATTTGTATGCAACCATTATTACTGATTGATAGAGCCCATTATGAAAAAAAGCTGAAGCGGCATACACTGCAGGTATGGCAGGATATTTGGTGGACAGGGAGAAAGGGGTGGAAGCTTAATGTCAGAGCTGATTATCACAACAGGTAATGATCTGTATTTGCACATTCTTGCATTTTTCATGTCAGATCACCACAACTTTATTAACATTGTAAAACTCAGGGGTTTCATTTAGGGTGGGGCACCAGGCAAATTGACCGGTTGTGAGGACAGTTTTGTGGTTTGACCATCTGGAGGAAAGTTTATCTTATAAAGAAGTTCAGTTCAAATAGTTTTGCCCTGCCTGTGAAAACCTGTTGCCCTCCTTCTGAAAACATTAAAGTGCCTATGACACCAACAGTATTTTAACTTAAATAAAAACTACAAGTCTTAAAAAGGAATAAGTAAAAATTTCATCCGCAAATAATAAAAGTTGAAGAGTTTATAGCTCTCTGAATTTCATAATTTTCTTTGTGAAAAGTGGTATCAAATTGCGCGGCCAAAACAGGCCTCGTGACGTCATCTTGTGTACCACAGCTTGCTGGAATTCAAAGCATCATGGCGGAAAACACAACACAGAGTAAGAGAACGAAGGTAAAAGGAGGAAGATATTGTGAGTTGTTTTCTCTGGTCTTCACTATGCTGCAACGAGTGGCTTCAAAACTCCTGGGTACACAAGATGACGTCATACCGACAAAAAAACTCGATCCCAGTCTCCGACCACTATTTGATCGAGAAAAGGCCAACTTTGAGCTAAAATTTTAGAGGTAAAAGTATTTTAGACAGACTTTGTTTTCGGTAGATGTATAATAGAGATACTATATTTTTATTTGGAGTGAAAATCGTGTTGATATCATTGGCACTTTAATGAAGCCCTTGAAAACTCAACCTATCACAGCCTTTACTAAGGTATAAGTTGGAATATTATGATCTAAATTGTCTAGTATAAGTAAGATTATAAACACTGGTAAAATGCCTAAAATTATAGCAATCCTTCTAGGCATAGAATCACTTTCAACCAGTCCTGTGAGAGTAAACATCTAATTATTCTCTGCTTAAATTTTAACACCATGCTTCTATAACAGAGACATGTTGGTACTCTTCGACATATTATGGAAGTAATGTGTTAAAATTCAATTATAGAATATCTAACAGATACTTTACAGAGTACCATGATTACACTTAACTACCGTATTTACCCGTGTATAAGTCGACCTTTTTTGACCAAATTTACACCCTAAAAATTCGACCTCGACTTATACACCGGGTATAAAAATCAACTTCAATTGATTGTTTACGCGTTGCTTATTGACGCTAAAATATCACAAGTCCATTCAATTGCTTTCAATAGGTGTGATATCACACCTTTCTGGTCTAATGTTGTCAGATTCAATAGAGCGGCTTTATAAACAATTTTCAGAACTACGAGCAACTCGCAACAATTATAAGTTATATCTCTTCAAACGATTCTCAACATGCCTAAACGAATGAAATACTCCGCTAAGTACAAGCTTTTAGTCATCAAATTTGCTGAAGAAACGAACAACTGTGCGGCCGCCAGGAAGTATAATGTGAACGAGAAGCTGGTTAGAGACTGGAGAAAGAATGCTGATAAGCTATCTCAAATGCCGAAGTCAAAATGTGCTGATCGAGGGAAGCAGGGGAGGTTGCACAGCAAACAAAATGGCGGCACGCTCGATAACAAGTGAAGAATCTTTGCTGTTTTTTCCTCTCTCAGCCTTGACTTTCGCTCACATTTCATCCTAAAAGATACTTGATAATTCAAAAAAATTAGGGTCGACTTATACAAAGGATATACGATAAAATTGGCAATTTCTCAGGATTTTCGGGGGTCGACTTATACATCGAGTCGACTTATACACGGGTAAATACGGTAATATAGATGTACAAAGTTTTAACCTTGCAGTTCAAACTTGTCAGAATGGTACTTAGTGTATCATGTTACAAAGTTGCAACAGATGGAACTTGCTCCTTTGTTCCCTTTTTTAATTACTTTCTTTTGTGTTCAAGATCTATTGGGTAAACATGCATTTACATGTATCTTAATCTTCAGATATAGACTTTGGCAAAAGTCTTGGAAAGCATGGAGACAGTATGTCATTTATTGCCGAATAAAAGCGACAAAGGATAAGTTGGCTCATCACAGGGGTGAGGGAAATATTTTGTGTCCAGCTTGGATTTGCTCTTACTTGTAACACAGTGTTGGCTTATTTTGTGTTGGCAGAGAGACATGTGATAATGAACTCTGATTATTACAAGATTTAAATTGTCTTTTACACGGTATAATTGTCCTGGTGAGAATAGACCTGAAATGGACTGTTGTTGGTGCTGGCTCAATGACCTGAACATAGTTATCATCAGAATCTTGTCACAGTGATGACCTTTGTTTAAGTTGGTGAAGCTTGAGTCACTATCCCTTATAACAGCCCTTTGCAGGACTACCTTCATCCAGATGATCACATGAAACACTTGACTGATACTTCTGGGGTTCACACCAGTTACAAGAGATGAAATGTGATAATTAAACTGAAGATGTTCAATTTTCTTCTGATTGTTTTTAAAACATTTTGAGATCCAGATTTTTTTCTAATGTATACCTATAATTGGAGTATATGTTATATGACTACATGCTGTCCAATTCGGAAATAATTGGATGAAAAAAATTCTGAGGAAAGCCAAGATTGGACAAGGCCATAGAGGAATTTTTTTTAATCCAACTATTTTCAAAGTTGGACAAGCATGTAGTCTTTTTACTTACTAATTATATTATAATAGCTTGTCAGTTGTAATTGGGCATTGCTAAGTCTAGCTATTTATCTTTAATTTTTTTTAACTGTCCAATTAAGGATGAATTTGGATAATTTGAAACTATTCAAATTAAATAGCAATAGCTATGCAGAAAATTTCGGATTAACTACCAGCTACAGCTGTATACAGTTAGAAAGAAAATTCTTTGTATAGAATGAAGAAATGTAATTTATAATTGGCAGTTTATTTGTGTTTTTATCACGACCTACATTGTAGGAATCTTTTGAACTGTTTTCGATTTCAGTAATTGTATTTCAATTTCATGGCTTTCATCTGGTGGAGATATTAAATTTTGTGCTTATAATATTGTGTGAGTGTACCCAATGATTGAGAATTTTTACCTTTTGTTTTATATTTTATTCTGTAGCACATCATTCATTGCTTGCAAAATGTTGGTCTGGCTGGAAAGCATACATTAGAATCAGAAGAGGCAAAAGACAACAGAATGACAGAGCAATGGATTTGGCTTACAAGCAACTAAAAAAGTATTGTGTACCATTATTTTAACAGTTTGGTTGAAAGATACAGTTTTATGAGGTGATTTTTACTAGTGTGGGAATATTAAATGTTTGATAAATTGAATGGTGTGAGGATTTCACTCAACATTTGATTTCCTAGGTATGTATGGGAACACTGGCTGTCACAGTTGGCTTTCAAGGAAAAGTTACAGCACATGAACAATGAAGCCCTTCAGTTCTGGGCAGCTTGTCTAATGTCTAAGGTGAAGCTTCAAGAAACTACCACTAGTCTTTTTCTTTACTCACAATTTGCTTAGTAAGGACAATCAGGTCATTACAGCAATGTACCTCCAGCTGAGAACTTCTATTTCAAACACTGCATTCTCATGAGTCACTCTGACCCCTGTTTCAAGTGTTGTAATCCACATCCATTAGAAGAGGTTCACAGTTATACAATTTGGCTTTCTTGAACTTCATGTATCATTATCCTGAGTTGATGGTACCTTAATTTGCTTGACTGCCTCTCTCTTTCCTTGTGTCAAGGGCTTTTCTCCAAGAACTCCATTTTTCTCCAAAAAGACAATTATTTTTTTCTCCATCAATAAAAACTTAGTCTCCGTCTATGAAAAGTTGATGATTTGACTCTTATTTTACCACAACCAACATGTGTATCATGGCTCACCACAAACTATTATTGTAATAGTATTCTTGCTTTCTAATCTGATGATAACAGTTCTTATTTTTAGAACTGAAAAAGGAATTAATTGACCTCTTTAATATCTCTGAGTACAAAGTTTTGAGCAACTTTACAAAATTTTTCTATTTATTTACTTTTTTTGCCTTGAATTAATTATCTCATTACAAGTGTATAGAAAAAAAAAATAGACAAAAGTTTGCAGGGAAGGGCACGAAAATCCAAAAGGTTTTTACATGATGGGCTCCCTCTAACAAATATTGTAATCACACTTTAAATCTTGAGATACAGTTTTTTTTCTTTCCTTTTTTTTTTTACTTAGGCTTGGAGGATATGGACAACCTTGTATTTTGAAAGAATTGAAGAGAGGAATAGGTTGAGAATGGCTTCACAATACTCTGACAGAATATTACTGCTTAAAGTATGGAGAGGAATGAAAAACTACAAGGCTGTTAAAAGATTGAAACAGTTAAGGAGAGGTAAACACATGATGAGCATCACAGACCTAAACTTTTTCAGAGGGCATTGACCTGAAATTTTTACATGCTTGTCTTGTCTAGACAATTTCCCAATTTTTTTTTGTTTTTTGTGGTGTATGTCCTCTACATTTTTAACTATGATCAGTATTTTGCAACCAAAATGAAAGTCACTTTTTAGAAATCAGTACTTTTTATGGTTTCAGTTGCTAAGCAACTGAATTCCACATCATCATCATACAGATTACTGGTAAGTAAAAAAGTCCATAAATTGGAATGACCAACAAAAAGTTGAAGGCCACCAATGATCTTTCAGTGATAAGTGCAAAGAATTTTTGTAACACCTATAATTCTTTCAATTAATCTTGACCTTTAAAATGCAAATTTTTGTCTTAAAACCTCTTTCCAAAGTTTATACTAAGCATAGGGTTGAACAAAAATATTTGAGTTTAGGCACAAACACACAACACTTCATTACAGTTTTATGAATCACTTACTAGATTGTTTATGATCTGAAACATGAGTGGTGGGAACACCCAACCCTTTCCATTTTCTGACATGCAAACCTGCGGCCTGAGTTTTACAATGAAGTCCTCTCATTATGTTCTTGAAAACTCAAAATCTTTTTTTATTTTTGCTGAAAATATGGTGTAATATACCACAATATTAATAATTAATTTTTTTCATCAAAACAGTAACTGTTTGTAAACTTAAGGTAAAAGTTGACTGAAAGAACTCTAAGAGACCTCTGGTTTGTTTTATAATCATGGTAATGAACTGTTACCAGACAGAGTAACACAGTAAGAAAAGACAGAGTGATGAAAAAAGCAAGTACAGGAAAAAAAGTTTTCCAAGGGTGAAAAAGATGAATTAAAATAGTTTTAACCAATCAAGAGAGTACTACATTCTGTAGAAGAAAACTTGCAAGGGAAAAACAAAAATTAAAATAGATGAGAAAAGATGCATGAAAGTTTATAAAATAATTCAGTGTGGCGATGAGGAGGAGAGTTCAAAAAGAGGTAAAAAAAGTACTAGGTAGCACTCCCACTCCACAAAAGGTTTGACATTGGATTATGATAGGCCGATACCCAGAGAGCATCGCTATGTCAGTCATAGTCACAAAATTAATGTAGGGTCAGTGACTTGCTACACACTGATTTTTAGAGGGTTTGGGGGAGCTTTTGAAAGTAGCAATGAGTATGAGTTCGGGAATGTTTTTAGCAATCTCTCCAGAACACAGTTAATGAAGTTCTCCTTGTTACAGCAATCAAATATGACAACCACACAATTGCAGTTATTCTTTGCAAATGGGACAGTTATGACATTGAAGCACTTATTTGCAAGCTCTCCAAGAAGTTGCTGATAATCCACATTACTCCTCATCTGCACAACTGCAATACCATCCACAATAAATGCTGCTGATAGTTCAGCAGTATTATGTCTTTAAAGTCTTGGTGGAACAACAACTTTTGACAAGAACACCTAATAACATGCTCTTTGTTGTATTTCTCAGAGACCCCTCTGTGTGCCAAAGTACAATTAAGGAGTGGAAGAAAGTTCATGCTTCAGAATTTCTCTAAGTCATATATCTATAACTCTAGATACAAAAAACATTTGAGCAGATGAATTCCTTTGAGCGCTCACAGTTAAAAGTTTCTCACCAATGGATTTCACCTAAGCCTTATTTGATGAAATTACAAACATTTTGATGTTCATCTAAATAGATCTGATGTTATGTCTGTCCTGGTGCAAAGAGTTTTTTTTTTTATGTCTTCAACATCCATATTCATTTTTCTTTTACCAGATTCTTTGTGTGCTTTAATTGCTGTGCTATAAATCCCACATGTCCTCGGTAAGTGTAATAATTGCAGCTCACGCAGTGCAGTAAGAAACCATCTATCCAGGCCTCTGGCTTAGGCCAATTATACCACTTTTAGACTTGAAGTTACCATTTTTACTCAATCAATTATGTAGTTCCATATTTGATTGAATGATGAATGTTGGGGACAAGGTCACACATAAATTCATTCACCCCAATCAACTAAAAAACTTCTTGTAGTCAAGAGCTCAACACTCAAACTTCTTGTGATTGGGAGCTCATATCAGAGCTTGTCAACTCCCTTGTCAACCAACTAATTACTCTCAACCAGGAGCTCTTCTCAGTACTTAATGACTCCACTGAACTGTAGAAGAAGCACGCAGCACCATGTTTATGTAGCTGTTTCAAAAACCTTAACTGTGGTGATAAACTCTGTTTCTTAAATCTACTGAACAGGAGACAAAGGTCTTTCAATGTATCACATACAGGAGATGTGTATCTTTCCTCTCTCCACTGGTAGAGAATGTCTTGTTTGTGTGGATATTCTTGTTATTTACATCAGAACTTCTACTCTGAGGTCCAGGCACAGAATGCTTAAGCTTATCTGTTCTAACTCTATGCAGTGGGTGAATGACTTTCCTTCAAGAAGCATGATTGATCATTTGAAGCCACTAAGTCTGGCTTCTGTTTAATTATCTTTAATAACACTTTCTTAACATTAATTTTCTTGGCTATTGCAGCTACAAAGTTTCACACAATATGAAATCCTCCCAACAAATCATAACATTCTCAAGCTCTCCAGGGTATCTCCAATGGATTTCTTTTGCCTTTGCAAGATCTAGGTATCACTATGGTAATTTTTGGAGAGAACAACTTCTGCTTTACATTTTCACAAAATAGTGGTTAGTGTTGGTTTCCCTAGTAACCAACCACCAAACTTAGACTACATTAAGTAACTTCCAAAATTACATCACCCCTTCAAATTTTATTTTATTTGGTTGAGTAGTTCTGAATGTAAGGCTGGAGAGTTCCTGAAGACATAAATATTTGTACTTCCAATAGTACTTTGTCACCCCTCATCACAAGTCATTGACTGCACTATTTGTGACTATGACTTATGCAGCAATGGTCTCTTGTTTTCAGGATATAATATGATGTCCAATCTTTCTTGCAGTGAGAGTGCTAATAGGCCAACTTCTTCAGGCTTCTCCTCCTTAACTAGTATAGATTGTTTTGATATTGCAATGCAAACCACCTTTGATATATTCACCCTCTTTTGTGCACTGATCAGAAGCCCCAAACATGTGATAGACATGTGGCTACAAACCAAGAAATAAAAAAAGTTACAAAGAAAATTTTGACAGGTTCAACAAAGAACACAGTTAGAAGTTTCTTTACACATCCATGTGTAAGTTCAACCCATTGGCCTTTCCCCTGCAAAAAATCACATGAAATTCTTTTTAGGAAGGTAGAGGACAACCACAAGGTCATTTTAAACTTGTGATTTTCCCTAAGAAGTCTAGTTCTGTAATACTGGTGACCCAAACTAGAATATGCCCTTTGACTGAAACCATAGCCACTTAATTGAGAGGCTATTTTTAAGAAATTGAAAATATTAAAAATGACTGAAAAAGACAAGGTCAAAAATTCTTTCATAAACCAATTGTAATGTGGTCATTAAATTAAAGAAAAAAAGAATTGTTATGATGCACACACACCAAAAAAAAAAAAAAATGCTTTCAAACATTGAAATACCAAACGAGTATAATGGTGCCTAAGATGCATTGAAACGTTTTTGTATTTCTCACATGAAATGTGTTATTTTACCAAGATGCTGCAGGAAGACACTTTTCCTTAATATTACTGAAAAAGTCATTTCAAACATGGGTGGTAAGTTGGCAGAGACAACTAGAGCTTGCTCAGTTTGATGACTTGATTACCTACAAGGGCAATGTGGCTGTAGCCAGGAGAGTATTAATTCATTGGAAACACTGTATCCTTGGCATTAAATAATGATTTTATAATTTTGTAAATTTTGAACCTTATCAAAATATTATAGTTGTCATTTATTACATCTTTAGAAAGGATTTCAATTTTTTTTAATATGGTGATGAAATTTATTATCACTACCTTTAACCCTATAACAGCCGATTCTTTATTTGACTCTCATGTATGTGATGCATACAAAGTCATATGTTGTCATGTAACCTGATTTCCACTCTTGCTCTGTGAAAAATTCAAAATGGTCTTTGTTATACTTCAACTCATTTATTACATTTAATCATTGTATTAATTTGGGTGTTTGGTCATTGCAGATATCTTAACTCTGGGTTTTTTCTTATTCATTTATTTCTCTTGTTTCAAGCTCATTTTTGTGCATCACCAAGTGTGTTCAAAAATGGAAAATATCATTTGGGACAAAATTGACCAATCACACACACCTCAAAAGATCAAGAAAATACAATTGTAATACTAAAGTTGAAGGGACACAAAATTTGATTTTCTTGGCAATGATTTTGATTAACTTCACTTGAAGACATTTCTCTGAAGAAGGACATGTACAAGAATGAAGATGTTGCTGCCAACCACTATGAAAAACATTTGCTGGTTAGTCTCCATGTTACATTTATTTAAATTCCAATTTAACTCAATGCAACATTGTTTGATTACTGACTTAAACAATATCACCAATGGTGTTTGCTGGCACAGCTATAAATGCCTTGACTAATGATCACACACTACATGTAAAAACCCATTAAAAAAAAAATTATGTACTATATAACTTGGCGTGTATGTTTTCTTTGCAGACAATCTGCTTCAATGCTCTTCATCTGCAATCAATTCAGAGAAGACTTAAAGAAATGCGAGTAAAGATGGCTGATGATCTGCACAAGAAACTTGTAAGTATAGGTAGTGCAAGTAATGATGTATGAGACTGCACTTTAATTGATGATCACTATTCATGATCAATAAAAGCCAGTAGCACCTGCTGCTATAATTTGTGCTAACAAAAATCTATTTGTTTTAAAAGAAAAACAAACATTGTAGTAATGCTATTTATAATTGAGTGTTTGTCTCACAATGTAGTCATTTCTGAAGTTTATTACAGAATTTGAGTAGTGTTCTTCAGGCAATTCAGTTGACTGTCTGGTTAGTTTTCAACAGTTGCAATTGGCAGGCATATTACAAATTATAACTTTATTGTGAAACATGTTATTGCAGATACATGTATCATGCAAAGGTACAGTTTTAACATTTTTTGTTTAAAACTGATTGTAAGTTTAAGTCAGGAATGATTTTCAATGAAGACTGTTACATCCCCAAATGTTTGATTTAGGTTTTGCATGAATTAAATTAAATTAAAGTTTGTTATAGCATGTATGCAGTCGTTTTGGTGTGCAGTAAGATTGCAATTTTTCACATTTCTCTCCTAAAATGAAATCTGAGTTCAGTAGCTTCTTACAATTTGGTTCCATGGATTTTTGCAGCAAAGAGATCTTAAAATTACCAAAATATTTTTACAATGTTTGAAGGATATGTATTAAACACTGTTCAAACCCTCTTCAGACCAAAGGCAAACTGAAATGTAAATATCATGTCCATCATTTTGTGTGGTTTTTCAGAGACTTCAAAGGGTGTGGAGCATTTGGCTAAAGCGATGTGAGCATTCTGAGGAGCTGAAGCTTCATGCAGTATCCAGGAGAGCAAGAGCACATTACAGGTATGAAAAATAAAGTTATTGGTGAGAAATGCAAGCAACACATACAGTAACATGTTGCTCTGGAATAATAGTGGCTACAACTGGAAAGTTGAAAAAAGAAGGATGCCATTTATTAAAAAAAGTTTATGTTGCTACATGTCTGAAGACTCTTCTTTTCTTTATTTGCGATTTTTCTTTATTCTCTATATACAGTGCTTTTATACTGGATTTATTAGTGTTTGAGGAGGAATCAAATTCATTAGATATTATAGTTGTTTCATTGAAAATAATTGGTCATCATTCATCTAGATCCTCGGTTTATAGGAAGTGGTACATAAGAGTCTCTGATCCTTTTTGCTGATATTATGTTCCTATTAGGCTTCAGCTGAAGAGGAAGCTTTTTATAATTTGGGTGAGGTACTGTCAGTGGAGAAGATTCAGAAAATCTCAGTATGCAAAAGCTGATTATCATTTCCGTGAGAAAGCATTGCCCAGGTTTGTTTTAAACTGTTTCTGCTATTCATTACCAACAGAAGAGTAAAATTACCTCAGCTGAAAGTTTGCAATGCTGGTGGCCCATTAGATTTTTTTGTAGCCTGTCAGAGGCTTTGTCATCTGATTTCAGTTTCCTATCGTACCCATGTTTTGACATGCTGAACTACTAGCCTTGAACATTGTCTTAACATCTTGATGTATTTTTAATGAACCGGCAAATTTAAAGAAGAAGAACGCTTGGCTAGCTCATATTGTAAAACGCCGTGCGGGAGGTCGAGGGTTCAAACCCCGGACAGGACTAACACTCAGGGTCTTACGATAACTGAGGAGAGTGCGCTGCCTTTGCTATGCCATTCGCAAATGGTCAGACGTTCTAGTCTTCTCGGAGAAGGTTGATAAACTATAGGCCCTGCATCCTCTCCGTGCTGGTTAGCAGGGGATGTCAAAGAAACTACGCCGTTTTTTTGTCTTAGGGAACGTAGCTCCCGGTGTTGTGGTCCAGTCTTGTTATTGTTTATGCATACCCCATTTAAACCAGCCTTAAAGCTGAACTGGGCCAGCCTGTCTAAATATCGTAAATAGGTAAACAAATCAAATAAAAAAATAAATTTTAGTATTAACGTAATATGCATTGTTGATGGTCGCAGTTTTAACATTGAACAACTGTATTCAAGTGACGTTATTATCTTGAAATAAGTTCTTTCTCCTTCATTGTAGGTATTTTTGTCAAATGATGATTTTTGTTGATCTGATGCATGCTCAAAAAGAAACTATTCTTGCTTCCAAGAAGTTCAGACGGTAGGTCAGATACAGATCTTAGACATATCAAGTTTTTTAAATTGTATTTCCGTACATGCAGAATAAAGGGGAGAATTTATAACTAAACTGTGGTGCTGCGTCGGTGGGGGAGTATAACAATATAATTTGGTTTTATTATCTGAATTAATGATGCTAACAAGCCCTCGTAAAGAGTCTCTAAAGCTGACGTTTCAAGCGGTAGCCCTTCTAGAATAGATTGTACAAAATAATCATTGCGAAAGGTTGCAAAAATAAGGGGCAAACCATCTTCTGGAAATGATTCTAAAATCAGAATCCATCTGATAAAAATTAAAGGTTTTTTTTAAAAAGTGACAAGAGAAATCCAACGAAGAATGGGAAAGTGGTACATGTGATTTTAAACTGTTGTGACTTGACTTTGGTGATGGCTGATGAACTTTGCTTTGTGCACTAAGATACACGTTTTAGGCAATTTTTCTTATATTGCATCATGTATTGCGTCATCATTGCTTTATTTGTAAATTTTGATTATAGTGAAGCACTTTTGGCAAAGTCATTTTACTTGTGGTGGAGGAGATACCAGCTTATGATGGACATCAGAATGATGGAAAGGATGGTATAAATTTCCACTTAAATGTTTTTGTAGTTTGATTCAAGAGTCCATCGTGTTGGTGTTGTTTTATGGTTGTCCGTTGTTATAGTGGTAGCTGATTTCTGACGAAAAGGCACAGTTGGCTTACTTACCCTTTTTCCAGGGAAAACAAACTTTTGTTGCGAAAAAATCGTATCTTCATATGCATTTTAGCTGTACCCGTTTATGGGGAGCATCCCCAATTGGAATGCATTTAATTTAAACTTTCTGACACTGACATTGTTACCTTGTGAGCAGAGTCGCCATTGAGATCCAAGGGAACTATGCCCGTAGGGTTTGACATTGTCTTCTCGGCTTGACGGAACTTACTTGTATCTTCACACAGTTAGAGCTAGGAAATCTGAAATACCCTTCGAATTTATTTCCTTAGATTTATAGACTTTGACTCTAGGTAATTTTTGGAATCATTGGAATCATTTGGCTTTGATTGGTTAGTTAGAAGGAAACATCTATTGAGCAATTTCTCCTTTCTTCGTTTAGGCCATTCTTCATAATGATGAAGTTGTGAAGAGGCGCTGTCTTCGATTTTGGACTCAACAAGCACGGAAAGTATTACGTGAAAGAAGGCTTGAGGTATGTGATCCAATCAATCAGTGATGCGCTTTTTTTTGTGGAGTTATACCCGAGACACATCGCAGCTTCAGCGGGGGGATGAAATTTTTTCATGCCAGCAAGACGACACGTAGATCGTAAAGGTAACCGATGAAGTGTGTCAAACTTTACTTTCAGGTTGTTGCCGATGATCATTACCATCACAGATTGTTGCTGATGGGGATAAGGAGATGGAGAGAGTTTAACCGAGAAATGAAAGAAAGGTATTGCTCACCAGTTACAAATGATGCATTATGCCGTTGGGAATGCTCAAGGACACCAAACTCTTTCCTATTCAAATGCTTGTTACAGCCATGAACGATCAGAGGTGGCTATATTCTATTGGTGTCAGAACTTCAGTGGTCTCTGATTGTGTGTTGTTTGCAGTATGGACTAAAGAGACATTTCGCCACTTTCAGTCGTACTGTTATTTTAACAAGTACATAAGTGTTTTCTCGCTAAAAGGAGAGACATAGAGTAATTTGCCTTACACAACTACCTTCACCTTGAAGTTTGCAAGGATAGCAAAAATCAGAAAAGATGCAGTACGAAACCAAGAGGGAACATGGATATAAGGGATAGGAAAACGGATTGCTGTTGAGTTGCTTGAAAAAGTTGGGCCAATGTTTACAAAGCGTGGAGCCCATGATGTACCCCCCCCTTACATTTGGCTATCTTTCTTTCTCATTAGTCGTTCAGTGCAGCATTTGTCAGTAAGGCATTACTACATCTATCTGTTGAAAAAGACTTGGACAGCATGGCAACGGGTAAGTACCTCTATCTAACTCTGTCAAACTTCCCTTTGTTATAATTTTGTGATCCAGTAATGAAATGCAGAGTATTTCCACAACACATTTAAGCTACTCTAATTTACATCAGTATCTTTTCCTTAACCCATTTTCCCTTGGAAAGTTTTCCTTGATAGGCTAGATTCCTGAGGAGTCCATTTGCCACTGAGAATGTAGATTTTTGCGTGCCCTAAATGGATGCTAGAGCAGGTGTAACAAAAGTTTTAAACTTTTAGGAAGGTCTAACTTTAAAGCAATCTTAAATGCTAGATGAAGTCTATTCATATACAAATCTAAGTCTTTCAAACAACTGCCTTGCATGCTGTGTATCAATCTTAATTGTCACCTCCCTTACTGTCCTTCTTTCAGTTTGTTTATTTCAGACAGGTGAAATGGCGAAAACAGACTCGTGCTTCCCTTCATTATCAACGGCGTCTTCTTTCACTAGTAGTCGGTGCTTGGAAGGTGAGCATTTGGAGATGTAGTGTCGTGTATTCCTTGACGAAGAGACGATTTAGGATGAGCAGCGCCTTTTTTGCCTGATTAGTGTTTGATGATTCCTTACCTTTTAAACACTGGGTAAGATGTAAGCAGTTTTCATATGCTGAAAGGTGGTACGTTCGCTATTCAAGTATCGAAAGAGACCAAGTTTTTTCAGTCTGCTCTACTGCCTCAGCTAATTTTGCTGCTGCTTTTTAGGATCATTACCAACACGCCAAGGCTGTTGAAACACGGTGTGAACAGAGACTTCAAACCTGCAATACGGATCGACTTAGGTAACTGAAATTTTAGTTAGGTAAAGGTAAAGTCTGTTTACGAGCCTAGTGGCCTATTAGGCCGGTGCTTAACTCCGGTTTCTGTAGTATGAAGCGACTAGGAGTATTTCTACTTCCCCCTGGATGGGATGCCAGTCCATCGCAGGGTTACCCCCAGCATTAAATTGCCGGTACCCATTTATACACCTGGGTGAAGAGAGGCACTGTGAGAGTAAAGTGTCTTGCCTAAGAACACAACACAATGTCCCGGCCGGGGCACGAACCCCGGGCCACTCGATCCGGAGTAGAGCGCACTAACCATGAGGCCACCGCGCCTCCACGAAATTTTAGTTAGGACTGTGACATTTTGTGTGGCATTTTGTCACGCATAAGAGAGGATTTCAATCGAAAGTGACCTCCTGGAAGTGAGGTGTCCCTTATCGTACAGTACAGAGTACAAAAATTTTAAACTGAAGAGACTTTTAAGCTGGATGAAGTAGTTTTGTATGATCAAGGAAAAGCAAAAAAGTAAAGTTTTCTACTTTCATGACCCAGATTAAATTTCCTTGGATACATTTAATGGCCCTCTTTCAGATCTGCCTTTGAAACGTGGAAGAAGAACAGTAAAGCAGAGAAAGAACAGAGAAAGAATAAAATTATTGGTGACAGATTTTTTGAACGAGCATTACTTTCCAAGGTGAGTTAAAGATTCAGGGAAAGCTTTAGCCAACATGCCGTCAGTCAGTTGTTTGGTTGGTCAGTCAGTTCGTCAGTCAATCGTCCAGTAATTCACTCAGGAGTTGGTTGGTCAGTCAGGTGGTCAGACATTTAGACGGTCAATGGATAGATCGCTGTACTGATGTGCGGGAGGTCGAGGGTTCGAGCCCCGGCCGGACCAACACTCAAGGTCTTAAAATAATTGGGAAGAATATGCTGCCTTTCTATAACATCAAGAAATGGTTTATATATTCTAGTCTTCTCGGATAGGTCCGAATAAATAGGGGTCCCGTCTCCTGCAGGGTCAGGGGTAGGAGACGTTAATTTCCCACGCACTAAATTACTGTGTGATGGATGTCCTTCCCTGGGGTGGGATGGCTGAGTTGTTGTCTTACGTTTCATACGTGAGCCTCTGGCTCGGGCAATATGGGTAACCATGCCTCACCTAAAGACATTAAACTTTGATTACTACTGATTAGTTAGTAAGACAGTCTGTTAGTCAATCAGTTAATCAGTTAGACAGTCAGTTAGTTAGTTGGACTGTGAGACAAACAGACGGTCAGATAGTCTGTCAGTCAGTTAGTTGGAAAGCTTTTCTTTCAGAGGTGGACATTTGATAGTTGAATAAGTTATCATTCTTCAAAAGGGGCCCTTGAGACAGTTTAAGCGAGAACAGCAAGATAAGGACATACATGTATTCGATACTTTTGATCCCTTTTCAGTGTTTGTCATTTTGGAGAGAATTTGCAGCCCACCGCGCGGTAAGGAAATGGCAACAGTGGCAACGTGTTCGGGAAATTCAGCAGAAACTAGATAAAGGTAATAACAATCTCCTGTCTTCCTCCGCCCTTACATGAAGTACTATCTTGCACCCTAATGGCTCTAGAATCGGTATTATTATTGGTGCTTTCTTTACATTTCTGGTCTCTTTATTGTATGATAAACTCCAGCTTGTAAAGTCATGTATACAACCGACTGTGATTTTGTTCTTAGACTATACCACGAGCAACATAGTAATTATGTGGCCCATTCGCCTGAATCACTCCAAACTATTACCAGTCTAAGGAAATAATTGACAGTGTGGATTATTCGCCAGGTAAATTGTACCGCTCATTTCGCGCATGGAAATCATTCAAAAGGAGGTCAGTAAAAGACAAGATTCTCAAAAACAAGGCTTTGGACCACTATGAGAAGACGCTGCTTGGTAAAGCCGTGTTCACTTGGAAAAGCTACATACATCTGTGTTTTAGGATCAAGGCGAGTCTTGGTTGAGCTGTTTTTTTGTTTTTTTGCTTAATACAAATTTGAAAAATTTCTTCTCCTCACACACAGAGGATAATTTTTGTATGGTTTGTTGGTCAACATATGTTCCCCATCAGAGTTACTAGGCAAAGCCAGTGCACACAACATGCTAAATGACTGAATAAATTAGAATTAGGTTGTGAAAAGTGTTTTCTTTTAGATTCTGCAAAGGCAAAGCATGTGGCTTCATAATCGAAGAATTACAGCTGCGTTCTTCAGAAAATGGAAGAAACAGGCAAGTATTTTAAGTTACCGTGTTGTCTATATTTCAGTGTCGCTGTGAGAGGGTCGCAATGGGGTTAACCGTTAGCCCTAAAACGGTAAAAAATTTAGCCGTCAGGCGTTAAAATTGACAAATTTTATCCGTTAGTCGTTAAAATGGAGGTAACCGTTAAAAAAAATTCTGGTGACAACAATAGAGAGATATTAACCATTGGCTTTAAACTGGCCCAGATTTTAACCGCTAGCTGTAAAAAGCAATCACCCCAATGAGTCCCTCCATGTTCAGGACTTTTAGTATCTTATTCAGGAAAGGCGGATAAACGAAGCCTACGACCATGAAAACGGCAGTGACGTGTTGTTGTAGAGGACTTGCACTAGAAACTTACAACGGCTCTCCCAAATTAACTAGGCTGCCTGGTTAAATCATTTCCAGTTTGATGATCGAGAAGAAGTACGAGCATTAATGAATTTTTTTGAATGCGTGGAAAGTTAGAGAGGAAGTATACTCTAGAAATCATATCAGTGATGCTATATCCAGGTAACCGGTAATTTTTGCTGGCTGTTCAAGCAAATGTTACCGGCTATTTCACTGGAACCCGGGAATGAAATATTTACCGAAGTCATCCAAATATCTCTCGTCCCATTCCAACCAATGTTGTGAAGATATCTATAACACGTTGCCGGTCTGAAAACACATCCAATGTTGAAGAAATCCTGCTTGTTTTGACCAAATTCATCCCTCGAAGTAACCTCGGGAAACGACTTCCGCCATGTTTCCTTTCCATTCTTCTCCCGGCCAAACTAAAAGCGCCTGCTAACATAGCGTCCACACGTGGCAAACGTTAGAAAAATATTTTGGAATTCGGGGTAAAGTAACAAAGTTACCTGCTATTTCTTATTTTGTGCCTCCTATGAAAAACAATAGCAAGAATCCTGCTCTATTTACCTCTAATAATCATGGATGTTCAGTTGCGACACTTATCGTCTTCGCAGCTTCGAAATCGTTTCTAACCTGATAACCTGATGAAATATGCCTTTGAAAGTAGAAAAAAAAAATGTATTAAGGAGCTACAAAAAACGTGCTGTTAAAATGCTGTGTTTTTACGATGACCAAAGCAGCACGCAGCTGGTTTTGAGATGGTGATAGATTTTACCAGATAGGTGCAGGACTGTGGTGCAGGCTAAGCAGCGCCAGGTGGCCCCTGGCACCTTACTTTCGCTCTTGGGCGACTCGGGAATCTTAGTTTTTTCATAAAAAGCATAAGCTGGGCACTCTGGATTCACAGTTTCAGAGCACTGGGCTCCCTTCAATTTTTCTTAGAGCATAGCCTTGTGGGTGATATACAGCGCACCATAAAATCTCTTCAGTTTTATAAATAACCATAAAACTTTCCACCAGTACGCCAAAACAATTTGTTAGTTTATCTTGTGCTCAACAATTGTATGAATATATTCCACACCAGATTTTATGCTTTTAAGTTCACTGAATAACAAAAAGTACCAACTGTAAATTTCAGCATGGCGGTATAGTTTACGAAAAGAGACAGACAGTACAGGCTTTGTGGCATTGGAGTGTTACTCTGCAAAGAAAGGTGAGTAAGTATAAACATATATCAAGTAATTTCAGTTTGATGGTCGAAAGTGTTCCTGTGTTTGTGTTGGTTTTTCCTGACTTTGGTTCGTGATTGGTTTTGAAGAATCGCGCCACCCTTCAACCAATCAATGTAAAACCAAAACCACTCGCCGCTTGGTTTTATGTTGAGTTGTCATTGGGTGTTTATTAAATTCTGGTTTTGGTTACACGACATGCAATCGAAAGGCGCTTTTTTTTACCAAGCTGAGCTCGCTCTATCAGTTTAGTGTTGGTCAATTCCTCTTCGTTTCTCTCATCGAATTACAAGAAAGGATGTCTCAATCAACTCGCAATAGATGATGTTAGTGCGGGATTTAAACCCGTGCCTCCCAGATATTAAAATTTGTTAAGCGCTTCTACCAACTGAGCTACCAAGCCTCATGATCAGATTCCTTCACGGGAACGAGGAACCTACTAACACTTTTCTTGCTGCCAACATGTACATACGAAGCTAAATTGGTGTTAGCGACCATGCAGCTAGTACCCGGAAAAGCCAGCTTCAGGCATGTCAAAAATCAGTCAGGCGACAATAACCAACGCTTAATTTTTCGTACTTTTAAAGGCATTTTACGCCCTTTTGGAGTACGCAATCTTACGTAAGAAGAAAGCAGTTCGAATCGCCAGAGCTTTGGAAGTACGAAGAAACAGGCTTCTGCAAGCAGGTGTCAAACAGTGGATGAAGGTGTGTTGATTAGCTTTTTTTAGCAAAATAAGTTACAGTTTGACTTGCACATGATATACATGTACAAGTACAGCAATGATCCCCGCACTTTTTTAATTTCATTGGAGCACGCCTGCCAGAATCGTTTGCAACGTCCTATGTAAGATTACACTTCTTTAGTCTTTGTCTCGCATTTGTTATTTCATTATCATGTTCTCTCAGAGTCCCCCATGAGCCTCAGAGCTCACGTTTTTGCTGTGAGGTGCTCTACTAACTGAGCTTCCGCGAACTCCCATGTCAAGGGCGCTATATATCAAGATTCATATATGACAAGAGGTGTGCCATACTATGGATACCAGCTGTAGAAAGCATCTTGTGTAGATGTAGATTAAAAAGATGGTAAATTCAGTTGAACGTAGTGGAATTACGAATGAGATTTGTTAAGTATTTGTCATGGATGAGGGGTACATTTACTCGATGTGTTCGAATTCTAGGTTGGGTTTCACCTGGCATCAGAGAGGTCAAGGTTGGCTCAAGAAAGACAGCTGGAGGTAACGGCGTTTCTCTACTGGACATTATTTATCGAATGTATTTTACCTGTATTTAATTTGCAACTGTCTGCGATCCTTTGTTGGGTAGGTTGCTCAATCGTTACACCAGTGCGTGTATCGCTGTGCAATTCACTGGAGAAGAGTAACGGCCAATAGAGTTCGACAAAGAGGAGGGAGACCGAGGCCCAAACGAGTGATGAGTCCACAATTTGATGGACCAGGTACCACATCACTGGAAAGTTCGCACTCAGCGCACTCGATTCAGCCCTCGATATACCGCTGGCAAGTTGACAGGTTCGGGAAAATACAGTCCTTGACTTTCCAAATTCTTTCTGATATTGGACTACCTTTTTTATGAAACAGTCTGACTAAATGTTCTATCAGTTCTAAAACTGAGTTAAGCGTTCCCAGAAATGTATCATCTGTTTGTGAGATTTATCGCGCTTGAGCTCTGTGAACAAAAGTATACTTCGTTGTGTTCAGATAGTACGGTGAACCGGAGCAATCTAATTGAAAGGTAAATTCCTTAGAGAATCCCAGTATTACAGAATGAGCAAACAAACTATTAAAACAGTCAGAGTTTTCTATGACAACATCCGTTTTTCTTTTACTTAGAATCGATACCATTTCTACTATGTTTCCTTGGAGTTAGCAAAGGATCTTCTACTGACTCGTATTTCCTTGACCTTTTCGTGGTTATTCTTTTCTTTTTTTTCTTCTCCGGGGTGAGAATTAACGATTAAGAACTACAATAGACCTGTACCCTGCACTTTGTTTAGACACAGTAGACTTATCTGATGGTTATATATTTTCGTGTTGGTAATGTAGGATTGCCTCAGAAGCCTTTAAGGAGCGCCCCAAGCCAAGAAAACCTGATTACTTAAGGGAGTCTTTTGACCTCGCCGAGATTTCTATGGCAACGAGCCTCTACCCACGCGTGTCGTCCGCTCGTATCACAGCGAGAGAGGAGGAGGACGAAGCAAAACCTCGGACGTCCCCGCCTCGACCTTCCTATCTAAGGAGAACCATTATTCATCCCCACGAGATGAAAGCTGGGGAAGAATCCTTCATGTTTCCCTCGTCTTCAGGGGAAGAATCTTATTCCGGCAGAGAAGGGTCAGAAAGCTTAGTGACAGATGGGCGTGGTAAGTACCTCGATTTACTTTGGGGTTTGTGTGGATGTATACACTTTAGATGAGTATTTACATAGTTAATCTATCCAAAAGTCTTCTCTGAAAGCCTAATCCGAAAGAGCAAAAAAAATTTGGTAATTTTTTTCAGGCTCATCGAAAGCTGTGGTCCAACCCAAATTACAGCCTTTGCCTAAGCCAGTATCAAAACCCGCTCAAATTTCAGCTTCCGTTGCACCCACTATCCACATGAGTCCAACTGGAAGAGCAGAACGAAGAGCTGTGTTGTTACCTCCCTCGTCCTTCACTCTGCCCACTCGTGACAAAAGTAGTCCGCTGCAGCTCTCTTTGCCTGACGCAGCAGAGGTACGGGCCTCTTCCTCAACACATCCTGCCTCATCTCCCTGCACTTCCATCGAAAGCGAAAAAGAGGCGGCGCCTAGTCCTTCAGCAAAGGTTTCGCCGAGAAAAAACTCTGAAGACGAAAACAATGAAAATTCTGTTGGAGAGGTCAGTGAAGATGAAGACGCCAACGAAGAAGAGTTGGACAGAGAGGCTAAACGTGACAAATTTAAGCTGGATGTGAGAGAAGAAGCTCCGAAGAGCAGCTTGTTTGGTGAGCTAAAAAAGGAAGGGAATCTCCAGGAACGTGTTATCCACATGAAGAATACTCTACAAGAGTTTCACGACATGAAAGTGGCCTACAGGTAAATGTATTTTTGCTTTGCATCATGAATTTCTTCAGTAGGACTTAGGTCACTTTTGGGTAAAGACTTTCCAAACACTATAATAACAAGGAAGTCAGAGGTCAACGTCACTTGTTTTGCTTCTGTTCGCTGACGTGACATACAATTATAGCCAAACTATTTCAAACCGGTATCGTCAAATCCGTTGTTAAATCAAATTCACGCCGTGGTTTTTAAGTCTTACGGAGAAAGTAAACCTATATTGAATAGGCGAGTCAAAGTACACACGCGGAGTAGACTAAAAGAGAAACACCACTGTTTAAATTTGAATTGACCTTTTATCAGTGTCATCGTGCGGATTAATTACTTGTAGAACCCTATTCGCAAATCAATATGATTGTGACACGCTTTCCTCTTATTTTGTCAGTCACAAAAAGAAACAGCGCGATCAGCTGTCCGTGTGGGTTGAGGAACAGATAAAGGAGCTGGGACCGAATCACCAGGATGAGGAGCTGTTTCAAACACAACAGTGCTTGCTCGAGGTAATATCCCGGTATGATGATTTGCACTAAAACAGCATATTGGCACTTTGTTATGTTCGATGTCATTTAACATTCAGTTTATCTCCATGGCGTTTTACAGTTGACTGTGGAAGTAAACGAAATAGCCCAGAAAATAAAACGGAGGCGACCCCTGGTTGAACAAGTGGCATTGAATATCAGAGAACTGATACAGCAAACAGGACGCTGGGGACCGGGCTAGCTGGTTTATCCACTACTACTCGTGTATGTCAGCATGGTCGAGTCTACCAAAGCTGAACGTATTCTTTGCCATTTCTTACTTACAAATGGATACACAAGGATTGTGGCTAAAGAGAAACGACTGTGGGACAGACTTGCTTTAATAGAAAATAATAAATATCGAATGCCATGAGCAGAACTGAAAAGTAAACCAAAGCAGCCGGTGCAAGGTGCCATGTCTGCGTAAGGTAGACTAAACAAGAGACATTGTTGCAACTTTATACATTGATAGTGAACGATGGACACCGATCAGTTGTACTCCCAGAATACACTGCAATTAATTAAACATGAACAAGGAAATTAGACGTTCTCAGTTCTTCAAAATTCGAAAGGGGCTTCGAAAATACCAACTTATCAATTAAAATATTCATTGGGAGTCTTTCCTTAACGATTTCCCTTGCTTGTTCGTGAGCTGAAGTTTTCGAAATGTAGGTTGTCTCTTGAGTACACTAACAGTGCATATCAACCTAAGATAATAAACACCACTATTCTTTTGATCTTGTTGTCAATGCGGTAAGTGTTTCCGAAGCTACCGTGAACTGTGTCTTCTGTATTGAATCAAACGGCTCTTTCGTTAGTATTTTTTATATTCTGAACCATCAAAGTGTTATCTTATTTAAATTTCTTGAAATTTAGCATTGAGATATTTTTGTCAAACCTTCCTCTGGGGAAATCTTGCTTGCGTATAAGTTACGTGACCACAATACCCCTATAGAGTACGTGACTACTATGTGAGTCAATCAAAGTTGGCCATATATGATACTTAATCACAACAGATGTCATATCCGAGGTCATGAATCGTCCATGAAGTTTTTCAGAGAATTCCGTGGCTTCATACTCGATGATCATTGGTGGAGTCTGAACAGTCATCATCCAGGACAAGCGTACGCATTCGTCCATGTATTCCCTTAACTTCGGGCAATTTTGTAACTCGGGAAAGTCGTACAACGTGCCCCACAACTGTTTACTGACCTCCTGTAAAAAAATAATGGAAAGTAATTAAGGTAAATATGAACTCGACTTTATACGAATCATACAAACTCTTGGTTGAGTGTTCTGTGTTGTTGAATGCTTGCTTGTCAATCTATTCCCGGGCAAGGATCAAAGACTATCCAAAAGACAAGATCTGCCCCCTTGCTAACCTCTCTTTTTTTTAGCTATACGCATTGTACTTCTTGTGATTGCAAATTACCCTTTTGATACCGTCGATCTTTAACCGTGCTCCTGTCGTTCGAAAATAGTCATTGATTCGGTCTTGTATATCCTGCGCGTGCTCTTCTTTGGTCTTCTCATCCGGGATATCCAAAAGCTTTTTAAGCTTGTGTTTTTTTTCTGCGAGTGTATGTTGTACCGTGCGGAAAGCCACCTGTGGGAATAATGGTAGTGTCCAATGCTAAATGAATCGTAAGCGTGCGTTTATCTCAAGGAAGACATGTCAAAGTGAACTGATGTTTGTTCAATTGATCGATGACTACCATAAGACTACAATCAGAACAGATTTCTTTCTGCACCTCCAGACGATACGTGCATTTGGTGACACATGGACATCATCGATTTTTGTATTATATCGTAACAAGACCTACCCTAACTGAATGAACAAGATTGCACTTACCACTATAACTGAAAAGAGTATTTTGTTTTTAATATCGCTGTTCTCGTCCAGCTTTTCAAGCGATTCTACTTCGTCTAACTCGTCCATAGCGTCCAGCCTTGTCTGTGTATACAAGTTGTCATAGCGCTCTACCAGAAGAGACGGTCGGCACACGCCTGCAGAGAGATCCTCGAATTTCCCGCCTTTTTTGAGCTGTCTCTTTGCTTGGTCTTGTAATCTGAAAGATGACCAAAGGTTAGTGTAATCAGCAGTTCTTGTCCACTTATCGAGATTTTCGGTCTTTTATTTACCATTATCGGTAACACTGCTACATAAGTACATTTAAGAAGAGGGTTAGGCGAAGAGACTCTTCTGAATGACGGAAACGTTTCATCCGTGTTCTTGTTCTTCCCACCAAAAATGTTAAATGGGTTTACTCGTATTACCTTTCCATGAGATTTTTCTCCCTCTTTGATAAATTTCGAACCATTTCCTGTGCTGCTTCAAGCTCCTTTTGTTTCTCCTGCAGCTGTTTGAGTAAGCTGAACTGTTCATCGATCGGTGTTTGTGTAGAAACCTTTTCAGGTAGGACTTTGCTTTGTGTTGATTCTTTTTGCTGTTCATGGTCAGTTTCATTAGAGCTGCTCGGAGAACTCAGCGCGGAGAATTCTAAAAGAGGAATGTCATTTTGATGCTAATTGAAAATAAATTGTCATTGTATTGGAGGTTCCTTGATCAATACTATATTTTATTAGGATTTTTTGTATTTCATTTGTTTTTTTTTTCTTGGACATTACAAGGAGTACGTTCAACGAATTTTTATTGACCATAGCCAAGAAACACATGAAGCGAGAGAAGTATTTTCCAAGCTGGAAGTGATGTTTCTAAATCGATGAGAGTCTAGAGACCATGGAGGGGATACGCATGTATAAATCTGTTGATCGTCCAACACTTAACCCATCAATCTACCCTCTACCAAACAAGCAGTATTGAGGAATCACACAAAGGAGGGTTTTGCTGGTACTCCTAAGATGTAGCGCTAAAGGATAGAGACTGCAAAGGACAGCACTACCTGTTTCATCCAGTTGAGTGACAGTGTCAAACACGTCAGTGTCACTACCGCATCCTTCTTCAACAGCGCTGACGTCACCAGACTCCGGACCACTTGCCAGTGTACGGGTTATGGTGGGTATGTCTGGTTTCTCGCCACCTTTTTTGACCACGCCCTTGAGAGATTCATCGAACAACTGTAGCACAAGGCGGTGCCCGTGGTGAAATCTCTCGAGCAGCGGTAACACGTGCTCGTCACGTGATACTTTGAATTCTTTTCTTAACTGGCTAAGAAGCTGCAGAACCTTAATTAAGCGAAATCACGTGATACTTTGAATTCTTTTCCTAACTGGCTAAGAAGCTGCAGAACCTTAATTAAGCGAAATAATTTGTAATTTGTATTTCTATTAGCCTGCCTTGCTGGTGGTTTTGTGTGCGCTACACCAGCCGTTTTAGTTTGGGGGGACGCTTACGTGACATCCTAAAGAACGGCCACGTAGGAGACCAACTTGCTTGTTTTCACGACCGCGGTGCGCTGCGCAGGCTTTGTTCATATCTGTTCTGAAATTCGCCAGTTGGTTCAACGGGAGAGGCGCACGCCACTGAAAATGTTGTTCATTCTCATGCGGGATTGAATTAAGGCTTATGTCTTGCGAGCTAAGAGGCTTATCCTGGAGTTCATCCCGGCCGGTTGCATTAACTTAAAGCGACTAGGAGTATTGCTGCCTATCCTAAGAGCTAAGGGGGAGCTTTTCTATCACGAAATGACCTTTCCCCCCCCTCCCGTTTCCCTCCCTCCCCTCTCAGTGAGCAGTTTATCAAACTTTCCCAATAGGTCACGGATATTCAACTATTCACCTGGGTGGAAAACGGCATTTTGAGAGTTCATTGTTTGGCTAGAGGACTTGATATCTGTTCGGATTAAAGGATTACCTAACAGCTTCGTTTTCCCTGACGTATGTGCGCAACTGGTGCAATTCACTTTGGCATTTTTTTTTTGACATACTTTCATGATATACCATTATTGTTTTTTAATTCTTACCATGGAATTTAACCCACCTCTTTATCGTGGTTTATTCGAACTTCCAACTTGTCTATCAGGACATGGATCAAAAGCTTGTCTCTCGAATTGACCTGTACAGCAGTTAAAAGCGATTGGTTGAAGAGCAATCTATCTTCGATAGTTTGTCCCGATAGTTTTCTCATGTAATGCGAAGTTTTTTCAGCCATGTCCGCTTGACTGTTTGCTGCAACGGCTGAAGAGAACTCTGGACTGTTGCATGGTGCTTTTGACGAAACTTCAGAGAGTTTTCGTAGAGCAGAGTTGTAGTGGCTCACAGCACGCTCTAATTCTGTCTTCAAAGCCTCTTCCATCTTCATGTGATAAGTCGCAGATGATCGTGTTATTGCTTCAAGCAGAGCATGATCAGCAAAGCCACTTAGAACCTTCGAAAACTGCTCTGCTCTCTGTACAAGCCGTTGATAAAGTGATCCGTCCATTTGTGTACAAATGTCAAATATGTTTCTTATGTGCTCTCTAGATCGCGCACTCGCAAATGTCTGGTTGTTGTACTTAAGAAGATCAACAAAATAACGAACAAGGTGATGTATGAAATCGTCGCCGTACAGCCCATGATCAGGAAGTCGTCCTTGGCGGTCGTAAAATATCTTTCTGAAAAGAGCTTCTAGTGAACCCAAACTGCTTGGAATATCACCGTACAAACTATCGATTGATAAGTTGTCCATGATGAGAACTAGAACATCTCCTGGGATTTGGTTCACTATTCTGATCAATTCTTGATAATCTTTTCTCTCGATGCGTAAATTCACTTTTCCAATAACCTTTAGAACCAGTATTTTGCCATCCTGAAGAGGATCTTGTCCGGCTGTCGTAGCCGTGACATCAAAGCTTCGCCTCTTTTGAGTAGGCTTCGTCGGTGGTTCTAAAGAGTCCGCCATTTTGTCGGGAAACGAATTCGACCGGCCATGTCGGGAGTCGGAACGTGTAGGTGTCAAACCATTTCGAGTTTTTGACATGGTGTTGAACGTTACGCTTAGTAGCTGTCTCTGTGTCTTCCTACCTTAACATATTTATAATGAAATTTGTCATCAAAAGTACTCGTAGTCTGCTTAGTGATTTGCATGTCTCGCCAGGCTTCTGCAACATCTTGTTATTGATGGATGGGTTTTCTTTATGTTTTTTTCGCTCACACACACCTAAAATAAAAACCATGACATTAAATGAACAAGCAACCAGATCGGCAATCCATTCACGAATGGTCTCAATGTGTGTTTCAAATAACCGAAATGTAAATTTCCTTAGAGCTATTGTCGTACATTGTTTGGTGCCCAAGGCGACTAATGAACTGGTAACTTTATTTACTTTTCTGCTACTGTTGACATAGTTAAGAGCAAAGGCTTGCCGAGTTTGAATTCCTGTGTGAATGCCTTTTCATCGAAGAAAGTAGAAGGTTTGCTAATACTTTGATCTTGTAAGTGTAACAGTGACTGTACAGGTATTCGTGCGAACCAAACTAGACCTGATTTACCATTTACAGTCTTTTTGTCGAAATCAGGTGCTCTTTTACTTTAACAGTTCTCATAACAGTTATTGGAAGTTTTCCCGTCAAAACATAAACAAAACAAATTAAAATAGAGAGGTAATAATCCAGGTTTACATTGAGGGCCGACTGAAAAGAAATCCTAAGTATATGGTGGCACTACTCTTCCAAATCACGAGGTAGTGACCAACGTTAATTGGTTAACTGACCCAAGGAAGGTCGCCGTGAAACGTGAATTTTTTCGAAGTTGAAGAGTGAGAGTGACTTTGTATATGCTATAGTGATATTGTCTATTCCTCTAACGATAGTAGCAGGTTTGAAAGCAAACTTTCACCTCCGTTAGTAACCACTTGAAGATTTATTTGCTACATTGTGGTGTACCAATGTGTTGTTCAGTCGAAGTGTCATCGGTTTATTGAATTAGTTCTGGCATTTGTGCTGGAGAAGCGACATTCACCTGTGGGTTAAAACCAAATACATCAACAGATCTGTATCTTGTGATATTTAAAACGATAATATTTTTTTCTCTAAGACAACGAAGAACAGTGCGGCACTGAAAGCGACCCCAGGTACTGATTTTAGTGACATTTAAGAATGGTTTTTACTTTTTTCATGTTATCATCTCAAAGGTCTCGATAGGGTTGGAAACAATTTCTGGTTCTTATGTGATATATCTGCAAATTTATATTTCTGAAAGGCTCAGTGGTGTTGTCAATTTTTAAACCATTTTTCTCTCGGGAACGTTCCCTACCACCTCGACTGTCTTTCTGTGAAAGCCTTACGACTTTCAGTCAATGATTCCCTGCAAAGTATCTCGATGTATTGTACATCATTTAATACTTTTGCAGTTTTGCATCTTTCTATGATTACTGAAAGGTTTTATTTGGGCGTAAGTAATTAATTGTAATTAGTAGCTGGGCTGGCGACGCTATTGAAATCGCCCTAATTTGTTTATTGCTCCAAAGCATGTTTAAACAAAACCTATCAACCGCCGATCAAATTAGCATATACAACTGCTTTTGAAGTTGTATCAGTGAAGGAAAATTTGCCATGAAATTTCATGATATTCGACCGTAAAATTGCGACATCTTTTACGAATTCAGGTTTTTGTAAAAGTTATGTCTCTGAAGGTATTAACGTGGATTTATAGCCTTATTGATGCTAAATAGTTTGCTTTTCGTAGACCGTACCTAAAGTCGGGTCCTCGAGGAGTCATAACAATGCAAGTCCTTGAGGTTTAGTGTTTTTTTCAATGATCTTTTTGTGAAGAGATTCAAGTAGTCACCAAGCATATATTCAATCGTTTTCCCGCCTTTGCCTTAACACGTCCTTGTAAATTAATTCAAATCAGTGCCTTTACTTTCATTGCTTTACTTTTAGGTCGGCCTGTATTGTCAATTATCTTAGGCAGAAGGTATTCGCATTCCGTCAGATGACTCGAATACTCAGCTGTATGAATAAGCTCTACAATGATTTTATCTCCCACCAGCAGCTTGTGAAGCGGAACAGCTGAACCAGTTATGAGCGACGACCAGGCAATTAACACTGCGGGTAAACTCAACGATGACCTGCTGTTTTACCACGAGTTTAAATTTGACGATAACAACAACAGCGACATAACACCATCACTAAGCGATTATGAGCTCCAGAAGATCAAAGAAGATCTGGGAATGCTAGATGAAAACAATGAGTTTGAAAAATCTGACCTACCGTTACCCTCCATATACATCGACGGGAGAAATACCCCAACGCCTTTTGACTTCCCGCTGACGGAAGAAGAACGTGCGCTGCTGGAGCACTGTACGATCGGATCACCTCGGCGATTTTCCGATTCGCCGAGCGTTTGCTCGACATCTCTGGAGTTATTAGCGGATAGTTTGATAAAAGACTTCCAAGACATGGACTCTGATCACAATCAAGAACTGATTTTCACCCCAGACGAGGAACAAGGGCCGGGGGAAGATACCTACGCGCGTTCTTCTTCTTCCAAGGGGCTGAACCTAAAAGCTCCGTCTCCTGTACAAAATTTGCAGCGGACCGTCGAAAGATCAAATTCCGAAGCTCTGGAATCCGTTGAAGCTAGCGATGAAAATGTCAGCAAATCAGATAAAAGTCTGAATGTGAAAAATAATGAAAGTTCGCCCACTCGTCCGCTACATGAGAACGCAGATGCTTCATTGAACTCTGCATCCTCGTCATCTCGCAACGGCCAAGAGTCGGAGCAAACATCACTGAGATCAGCCTCGTTAGATTCCGACTCGCTCCCGGCCTCGATCGACTCCGTTCTTCCAGTGAATGATGTGCATACACAGCAACAGTACTTTGTTGTGGTGGCCATTGATTTTGGAACAACATTCAGTGGTTACGCGTTCGCTTTTACTCGAGATCCCGAGAGCGTGCATATGATGCGCAGATGGGAAGGGGGCGATCCAGGTGTCACTAACCAGAAAACACCTACAACTTTGTTGCTGAAACCTGATGGAAACTTCCATTCGTTTGGATTTGGTGCGAGGGATTTTTATCATGACTTAGAACCAGACGATGCTAAAAAGTGGATGTACTTTGAGAAGTTTAAGATGTCTCTACACACAAACAAGGTACAATTGAGTTTTATCTTCCAGCTTCTCTAGATCTTGTCTTTGATTTTATATTATGGGAATAGATTTTATTATTCCCTATAACTTTCAAAGAGACTGTACAATTTGTTTCGATTACCTTCAAGAAATTAGAAGTAATTCGTATCTTACCGAATTTTACACTTTTGACTTTGTATTGTAAATGAGATTCTTAACCTTGTAAAACTAATTAAAACATTTTTGTGATCCTGAACTCCATTAAAATTCATTTGAAACTTTAAAACTTTCTATTTTATCCGGTACGAATTGACTCTAAAATAAAATGATGCATTGTAAATAGTATTCCGAGAAACTGAGAATGCCGGTATAGAATACTTTCAGTAATTATTAGTTTTAGATCTTTAAAAAGAACTACATTACATTCGAGAGTTGTGTCGTTTCAAATGAAGGTTCCACTTTTATAAGCTTCATGGTGTGATTTGTAAAACTAGCAACCTTGTTATTTGAACTTGCGTGTAACCCGAACATGTTTTTAGAATATTTTCCAATGAACCAAAGCCGGTAAGAATTTGACTGAGTCTATTTATGTAAAAATGTTTACATTTTGAGATAACACTGAATTATTAATGAGAAACGACTGACCAAGATACCGTATATTAATTAGACGACAACCTTAAAATTGCATGGAGTGAAAGTCGGAAATAGACAATCGCAACATGATTTCCACCTCGAGTCGCATCATTGAATAAAATCTCACATTCTGATTGGTTAACGAAGCGAGGTATTTAGTGTGAAATTGCGAGTTAAAAACGAGGCTAAGTGATATTGTTTCGCATCAACGAATACATAACAACTATAAGTAATGCTCTTTTCTTTTTTTCATATTTAATTCAATTATGCGATTCAAGAAAAATCCATTACTTGAATCTTGAATTCCGCGTTAAGTTGCACTTGAAAACCAATATCGCACTCATAGCTTCGCGATTCGTGAGATATCGCTTTTCGCGTGCAATTTTATGCGGTATTCCCTCGTCAAGTAATGAATTTTCCTGTAGAATGTTTTTAATGTTAATTTATCCTTTATAGGATCTTCACAAAAATGTTGAGATCAAAGCTGCTAACGGCAAGTCAGTCAGAGCTGTGACCGTGTTTGCACATGCGCTGAAATTTTTCAAAGATCACGTGCTGGAAGAACTCTCTGACCAGTCAGCAACGAAGATTCTGGAAGAAGACATTCAGTGGGTTCTCACCGTACCTGCCATCTGGAAGGCACCCGCTAAACAGTTCATGAGGACAGCGGCCTATGAGGTGAGTGGAATGTTTATGCTTCCAAATGATTGGCTTGCATTCGTCTGAGGCAGCCCTTTTGGCGAATCATTAAACGCCTTGGATTTTTATCTTAGGTTTTTTTTTGTGGAGCCTGAATGAGTCAGTTCACGAGACAGAGGCAGGGTATAATGCTTTTTACTGAAGGTAATTTTTCACAAAAACAAAGGACATGCCAGAGAGATGCACGAGTTTCTTTCAGTTAGTTATTCTAATTCCAAACACAACTCTGTCTTGAAGAGTAAATCTAAGTATTACTGACTCTCAGGACTTTCTCGAACACACTGCCAGGTTTCTTAATTGTTTAAATCCTCAACAGACCTCACAAATTGACCAATGGGCTCCTCGCCAAGAAATAGTAAATCACATTTTCTGAGAAAAAGGAATAAAAGAGACGTCTTGGGTCTAAGGTGGCATGATGCACTCGTCTTGGCTCGAAACCACATGTCAGAACAAGATGTAAATTACTTTTAAAGAAACATTACTCTCAATTTGAAACTTCGGACGTGTTACGTCCCAGAACGTTTATTCCACTGCATTGGTAATAGAAATCACAGTCTTTTGCGGCTGTGGTCGTGCTGTTGCTGAAAAACATCTAAGAATTAATTAATTTTGTGTGCTTCTACATGATTGCACGTTTAAAAAAAATAACGTGTTGGATAAAATATGTAAATACTCGACAACTTTAGAGAGAAATAACGTCTCTATGCGTCTAAGACACCATTACTTATCAAAAATTTCTCATGTGAAGGGTTTATCTGCGGTTGTGTACATGTTTGTTGTACATCCTTCATTTATGTTCGCAAGTTAGATCCTAGGTGATTATGCAAAATAAACCGTTCTTGTGTACTTCGGCGTTGTAGCCGTATTTCCCTGTATAAAAATAATCAACACAGTCTGTGCGAAAATTGCTGACACTCACGGAGAGTAAAATCGTAAAAAAGAACTCCAAGTTTGAAATAGACCTCATTGTTAAACCTCTAATATTCGTTAATTTCCGTGTTTCAAATCCCTCTTAATAAAAGTTCGAGATCGCTGAGTTGTAGAACAATACCACTCTGAAAGGTCGCACCTCAAGTAATGTTTTTGAACATGCAGTAGCGTAGTTAAGTAGAAGTGTACCGTGTACAGCCACTTTAAAGATCATGATACATGGATTGACATACACTCGAAGGTGATGACTCTAATTATGGTCGAATAATACAAAATTAAAATTGTACCAAAAAGTTAAATTGTTCCTGCGAATCCAGTGCAGTATTCTTGGAATTTGTGGTGTAGATCTTCTTCATGCATATTCACTTCTACTGCTGAATAAACTTGTGATTGGTGTCGAGGTATCGTTATGGATGCGAGGAAAGTTGTTCTCTGTGAATAATTTCTTTAGAAGGTAGAGTTCGCTTACAACCACAGCGGCGATAGAGCCAAATACGAGACATTCAAAAACCACCATGTCTGGAAACAGCACTGTAGATTTGCATTTATTTGTGCGATAAATACCTCATTATACTAACTTTCCTTGTTATTAAATTCGTTACCTGCGGGTGCTGTAACTTGGAAAAAGGCCAAGAAAAATCAAGTGCGTTAGTACTGACTGACACCAATATTCTCCTTAAAATGCCGACTCTATTGTAACCAGACAGATGAGAAGGATAAACAGAATCATTAGCAACGGGATTATGTCTTGCGGTAAGCACCAAATTTTCAGAAAAAATGCGTCAAAGAGAATGAATAAGAAATTTATACACTAAGGATATCGGAATAGTTCGAGAAGAACAAAAAATAGTAATGGAATATGAAGAACTTTATTCATATTTTATCGAAGCAAAAACGTCAAGTGTGCGGGCTTACAACAAGCTTCAATGTAGATATTTGAAATTTGCTTTCATGATCTTTTTTCTTAATTCTGCACTGCAAAAAACTAAAGGCCTAGTTTCAGACTACAAGCCCAGGATTAAATGTTTCACATAAACCACAGTTCAATGTACTGTAGAATACAACTCACTTTCCTTTGACTTGCAGCCCGGCTTATCCTTATTAAGTCAGTCCCATCATCCTTAAAGATTTGTAGGAACATCAAATTAAGAAACTCATTAAAAATAAAGTCAGAAGCTTTAGTTTGTAGTTATATTGATTTCACGAAGCAATGTAGTGTTATTTAAAGCTCTTGATTACCAGTGTTAAAATATCCTAGGCTACTAAAATGTGCCCAACGGAGTCATTCGTCCGCAAGACGTACTTATTCAGGCGAAAAAACGTTTTCCAAGCAATGTTGTCTTTTAAGAAATCCATGGATCCAAGGATGTCTCATTAATCATTTCGAGGCCATCAGTGCTAAAGCTTCCCCTCTGGAAATGAAAAAAGGTCCGTGCTTGAAGTACGGTAGTTCTTCGCCTTTGCAAATTTTCCTCAGTACAAATGCCTCTATTCCTACCACAGCAGCTACGGTAACAATGACAAAGACCTCCACAAATACCATGGCTTTCGCAGGGTTTATCTCCTTTTCGATTGGATCAGAAATCCGTCTGGGAAGTTCGAATTGATTTCCACTGCCCCTCGAAAGATGTTTTTGTGCTTTGAAGAACTTTGCGGTTGGACGTTTGCCACATTCTTTTCCACCTGTAAGCTCTTAATTATATGCAAAAAAGCGCATGTTTGGGAATGACAGATTGAGTGATAATGTTGGACTAAGGACTTTATTCAATTACTTGCATTTACATAACTTTTCATTTCACATCGGTGATGTGAGAGATTCTGACCTGCTCCTGTTACAAGTGTACTTCTAGTGCATAGACATTTTGTGTTTCGTGGAAACCCGTTTCCTTCAACCAGTCATTTTATTTTCGGAAAACAGCGTTCAAAATGTATTTCGTATTATACATTAAAACACTTAAAAGCAAACCGCCAGTCATGTGTTTAGATTTTCATATCAGATATCATCGTCATACGCTTTGTAAGGACTTGTATTTAGCCTGTTAGCTCAAATTACCCGGCGTTTATCCAGCGTATTTCTGCTCCTTTTTGAGTCATCTTTAGCTCATCTTGTGTTCAATCGAAAATGGATAGCACTGATGCATAACATTACGTCAGTACGTGACAAACTTTCTGGAAAGTGTCAATGTTATTTTAACATCTTACAGTTCTTTCCAGCGCCATCCTTTTGGAGACAAATAGTTCTAAATAATTAATTTTGTTATGCAGTGATCTAAACAGATGCCTGATGAAAAATCTTATTGGTTAACATTGATCACGTGACTTTCGTTTCCTGACGTTCGCAAATTCCTTCGAATTTCAGCACTATTTTGCAGAGTTTTTAATAAGGTGAAACACCGCGAAATTTCTCAAAATGATTTAACATTTTTAAGCTGGAGATGATTGAAATTAAAGTCAATGAGTCAGTAACGAGTGCTTACTCATTTTTTTTTTGTGTAATAAATACGAGCCATTTTCATAATCCATACGAAATTGCAAAATAATATTTATACCGCAGTTAAATTAACAAAAAAAAAAAAAAAAAAAGAACCGATACATAATGTTTTAAGTTCAATTCTCGATGGTAACTTTTGCGGTACAATCTGAGTTGCATTTGAAACAAGAGGAGAACGCTGAAATGATTTCTCCAAAACCTTTGGTTCGCTATGTTTGTGGCGAAATCCCTTGCTAATATGCTTTTGTAGATTGCGTCACTCTTTTCCCTTTAAAGCGAACTTTATTGCCTTCCCCAAAACGAACATATTTTAAAATTGGAGTTTACAATATATATATTTTTTAATATATGAGCATAAATAAACTCTCTATGATATTGTGAGGGGCATTTTTCAAATATTTTCTCATTGTGCGCCAAGGGTTGCCACAAAGTTCTGTTTTAAAACGTAATAAGTGACCATTTTTTCTCAGTCTAACATACCTTTATCCATTTAGAAACAAAAAAGGCACAGCAAATATTGTTACGGTACATCTAACCCCTTCAAAATAACAATTTCTGCGTCTCTGGAAACTGAACCATTGATTTTGTATTTCTTGAGCTTTACTCACAGTTGTAGATAAATGAGGTAATGTTTCGTATGGTGATGGTTAGCTTAAAAACTTTGTACCTTTGATACTTCAGAGATTAATATTCTTGCTTATTGATAGAAAAATTAAAAGATTAGTCTGGTATTAATTATTTTATGAAACTGTCCAGTTTTTCCGAGGACGGAATTATCTTGTGGTCTTAAGAATGGTATGATGTAGCAATAACGCATTGTTTTGTTCTTATGAAGCAAGTTCCAAGCTAACTGAACTGAAACTGCACTTGAAGTCCAAATGTTCCCTGGTATTACAGCAAATACGAACCGTCACCAGCCAGGTTATACTTTGAGTTGACATGGACGCGATATTCTTTTCCTTCGCATAGTTTCCTGAGCATGTGCACATCTAGAAATACTAGTACTGTGAACGTTCCAAGCACTACAAGTTCTACCAACACCATGTTTATTCTCTAACTGTCTCAACGTCAAATCAGCTCTATCCAAACGAAATTTCCCTTTGAAAATGGCAGAGTATGTCCCGAGCTACAATCAGACTCATTAGTTTCAAGTGTGCGTCGAGTAAAAGAGCACCTGCTGGATAGCTTCTGTAAACAAGTGTGAAACTAATCAACATGAATAGATTACCATTAGCAAATGACGCAGGTTGAAGATGTTTAACGTTTTGGCCGCAGGCCGATCAGGTGCATCAAGGAAATTTTTCTCTTGGTAAGCGAGAAAAAAATGCTGGATCTATCTCGTCAAAATTTGCGAATTTCTAAATCACCTATCTCACTAAAATTTTCTTGACATAAACTTTCGTTCGACAGGTAGCTGTTCTTTACAAAGTTTCGTATGATTGTTGATTTCATCCACAAGTAGATAAACACAAAAAACTGGCAAACACAAAGATATTAAACAAATTCTTAGCTCTCGCAACACAAAAACAACAACAACATCAGCTGAGCTGTAAATCTTACGACAACCGAAAAACACTGAACAGCATTCATTTTCTCAAAATTCTGCCAATTCACTAAGAACAGCCTTATTTGAGTCCAAAAACTATTGTATACACAATATTACACCAGAATCCAATTTTTCTTAAAATATAAAGATGTGAACACTTTCACCACATTGAAACCCAATGAAATTTAAGCGCATCCTTTAAGAATGTAGATAATCTGCGTCAAATAGCTGAATTCGTCTTTATAAACCATATATACAAAGGGATATGCTTTGTAAATGTCCCTCTACATTCGCCATGGTCTTCTACGTTATGGCTTATCGTACATGGCTTTATCTCTTGCGTGCAAGTTTAAGTCTGAAAAATTGCCTTATCTCGCAGAGAAGTAAGGTATTGTCACAGGGAACACTTGTGCGTATGGTTCAGTATTATCCTGCTGATTTTGTTCCTCCCCAAAACATCTTTTCAGCAAGTAAATATCCAAAACGCTAAATCCAGCAACAATTACTCCTAGGAAAACTGCCGTCACCACAACCATACCGGGATGAGATCTTCCTTCCGTCAGGATTACATCAATTAAAATGTCAAAATGATTCTGCTGAGCTATTTAAGTCACTTTGCGAAGTCACTGGCACACATATAGCACAGCACGATGTTTCGCAATTTTGTATGATAACTTGTTCGTGTTAGTGATGTTGGCTGGCATCCAGGCTGACTTACTGCCACCTGCAAGTGGGAAAATTTATCGTTGAATTATTGACCAGGATTACAAAGACGCTAGGGAGGTGAAATTTTCAGCGCACTGTGATTTAGCTTTGAACTTATCGGGAGTTCATACTGCATATTAACCTGATTGTGTTACGTTGGGTTTAAAGCGTTCAAGTTGCACACTAAAATATTCTTCAATTGCTTAGTTTACTGAAGGTTGGAACATACGCTCTTTTTCATACGTCAGATGCATGTGAATAATACCTATTCAGCAATCTGCCATGACTCAGATAGGGTGATTAGTTTGACGAAATAGAAGCAGAAATGCGATTTAGAACGGATGGACTTTTGGATTCGGTTATTGGACATTTGAATTCTGTCGTGACATGAGTCTCAGCTAAGGCCTCGGCCACTGATGAGTGTATTTCAATTACTTACCATCCATAAACATGGTACACTAATAACTGCTAACTGGGTATTTCTTTCTGGCTATCTTAAAACCAAATAGTTGCTTGAGAAAGAATATTCAGGCGAACTTGAAGCTAAAATATTTTAGCTCTCGAAATATTGGTTGAAAATTTATCCAGTGCTCTCCTCTTTACTGCTGGGCGGAAAGGAAAAGGAAATGACTCAGAAAATTACCCTGGTCTTTCTTCTCCTCCTCAGTTTGACTGTCGGCACGATAAGAATTCCTTATTTTGTCATGTACGCATTCATTTGAGCTCTGTGTTTTTGCCGGAGACCACAGCACAAACTTCCAACACAGTAAAGGTGAAACAATGTTACTCCGGCAACCAGTAATACAGTTAAAAAAATGGCAAGAGAAAGCATTGTAATTCAAAGCAATTCTCATACACCGTAGGTCTTTTCCCCATCAATAACTGCTGAATACGTATTCTTTACTGAGTTTGAGAATTTCACCTCTCAGATTCGATTCTGCTCTCCTGCGGTCCTAGCGACAAAGCTTATTTTCCTCAACAGGCTTAGAAGAAAAATAGTTTTAGGTGCTCGAAGTTTTGCATCCTCATGGCATTGACTGCAATTTTTGCGATGATTAATCGAATCAGTCAGTTGTAAATTCCGCCGGAAACCAGCATACAATTACATCGCCTTGTTATATTTTTGTTCTGATACGTAATTTTTTGTTGTTTCATTCTAATGTAAACGGGGACACAACACTTATATGCTGACATATTAGAACTCGTTTATTATTTAGCAACAAAATTAAACGTAATTAGCATATGTAGACACATCGTCTTGAATAAAACACAAGGATTTTCTTTCCACGGTGGGGGTCACGTTGCTTACAGGCTCTTTGGCTAGTTCATTTCGCTTGAGAACTTGGGACACTACTAGCTAATTTTGCTCGTCACAAAAAATAACTCAAGATTTCATTCCAAACTCTTTAAGATCCAATCCAATCTCCTATTACCAAAGTTAATCGTTTGTGTAGTGATAAACTAACGAAACTTTATCACTATTTTCTATATTAGATATTAAGCATGATATCCCTCATATTGTAGGCCGGACTGACTACACAGGATACCCCTGACCGTCTGCTAATAGCATTAGAACCGGAAGCTGCTTCGATTTACTGCCGGAAGTTACGTTTGAGGGACTGTTCATGGGCGGAGGAGACAAAGAGGAGGTCAACTGTCTTATCATCAGTGGACGCGCTGGTCGGAGATGACTTTCAAGGTACTATTTTCGGGAAAATAGGGGAACCTAGAAAGCGCAGTGACTTCTGCTGTTGAAGCTGATGCCCTAAACTTGTGTCACATGTGTGGGTTGAGGTCGTTGCTAATTCTCTTTCCTGATCCAAGAAGTTTTTCTTCAGGTTCCCCAGTTCTCCATCCTTTTCAGGAAACAATGACCTTAATTTCAATGAACAGCAAAACAATAAAAACACTAATGTGGCCTTGAATTACTGTAAAATATTGTAGAAGTCCGAGCTTTCGCCGCTCAACGGCATTATCAGGGACGGATAAGATAAAATATTCCACAAGGGCCGAATAAAAGGGAGAAAAGTGTCACTATACTAATGAGCGAGTGTCACTGTGAGAGGATACAGTGTGAAATGGGAGGCGTTAGAACAATAGGTCTGCGAATTCAATGCATTCTTCTCGTGAGTTAATTGTAGGTTTGTTTTTCCTTATGTAAAACGCTTCAAATAGGCGGAGGTTTACCGGGTCGTTTTCCAATGTAATTTTTACTTCAATGCCTTTGTAATCCTTGCCTTGGCATACAGCGACATGTTTGTTTACTGATGAATTTACGCTTCTGAGATGTTCTTTCACACGGTCGTGGATGGAACGAGTGGTGCTCCCGATGTAGTCTTGGTTACAGTTTTTGCATGTAATTTGGTAAACAGCGTTTCTCAATAAACACAGGTTGGTATGTGCGATGGGGCAATTGTCTCTTGTGCATGTATGCTCTGTGATTTTGTGAGAGAGGGCTTTTCTGAGGGTGCATGACTTGTGTGCGATGCGCACAGGTATTCCCTCTTTACTGAAGATGTTAGTGATCTTGTGGTCTAGCCGTTCGGAGATGTAGGGGATCTTCAGGTATGACCATTTTTTCTTTTCTGTGTTGGGAGAGAGAGAGTCTTCGCCACGGTTCTGGGGTTGTTTTGTGTGGCGTATGTAGCTCTCCGAGTATCCCTTTAGGTGCAGGATTTCGTCAAACGCACCTTGATGTTTTGCGTTTGTAGTTTGTGTGGAGCATCGGTCATGAATACGTTTCCGTTCGTTGCGAATGAAGTTGGTCTTGGCTTTCTTGGGAATAGCCAATTAATGGTGTACGAACAATGGTTTTTTTAGCTTTTTTCTTGTAAAACTCAAAGGAGCTTTTGCCGTCTTTAGAGATGGTAACTTCGAAGTCTAGTAGCGACAGCTGCTGGCCGTTAGGTGTTATTTCCGGTTTCTCAGTTTCAAACTTCAATTTTGGATGCAGGTTCATTGTGCGGTGGAATTGGTCTCCCATTTCTTCGTTAGTTGATTGTAGGTAGATGTCGTCGACATATCTCTTGTAAGGGGTTATGAAGAGGTGTGAGGAAAGCGCGATAGTTTCAAGTTTGTCCATATAGAGAATGGCCAGAATTCCTGAAATGCTTGAACCCATGGGGAGACCTTCCTTTTGGCGGAAGACTTGGCCATTGAAAGAGAAGTACATGTTGTTTAATGTAACTGTGAGAAGATCCATAATGTCTTGCTTGGAGAGGTGGAATATTGGGTTCTGAATTCGGTCAACAGCATTAGTGATGGCCTCCGGGGATTGAGATGTATAGGGACACTACATCGAGGCTGCAGGGGTATGTTAACGTTTTTTTGGTGGCGATATTTCCGTATTGAATGTAGTTGTAATAAGCTCTAGGCTGTTTTCTAAATGTGCTGGGACATTCTTTAGCATAGGTTTAAGGGCGTTGGCGAGCAACCATGAGATGCGTTGCGTTGGTCTGTTGCTGTTGGATACCATGGGTCGTGTTTTGATGTCCGGGCCCGTTTTGTGGGTTTTGATGAGGTGGTAAAACCGGGGAAGCTTTTCTGGACAAAAGCTGGGAACTCATTTTGTAGGCAGATTTGACAAAGGCACTGAATTCTGTGTAATACCACAAGACACATTCACACAAGTCGCCCCTGATCACCTTAGCGACTCAAACACATACCAGCGAATTATTCGTATGTCGGCCAAAACAGTCGAAAACAAGATCAACGCATTCTGGAAAAACATCTGCCTACAAAACGAGTTCCCAGCTTTTGTCCAGAAAAGCTTCATCTTGTCCTCGAACACCGATTTACCCCGGGTTTACCACCTCATCAAAACCCACAAAACGGGCATAAGTTAACTCACGAGAAGAATGCACTGAATTCGCGGACTTATTGTTCTAACGCCTCCCATAGCACACTGGATCCTCTCACAATGACAACACCACTTTCATAAATGGCTGCCGGATTGATATTCTTTTGTTTAAATTAAAATTAGCCTTTCTGGCCTCGTTCTCCAGTTCAAAATTCAAAAGAATGCATTATCTCAAGCGAGGCTAGGCTTATTACAACTACATTCAATACGGAAATCTCGCCACCAAAAAAACGTTAACATACCCCTGCAGCCTCGATGTAGTGTCCCTATACATCTCAATCCCCGGAGGCCATCACTAATGCTGTTGACCGAATTCAGACCCCAATATTCCACCTCTCCAAGCAAGACATTATGGATCTTCTCACAGTTACATTAAACAACATGTACTTCTCTTTCAATGGCCAAGTCTTCCGCCAAAAGGAAGGTCTCCCCATGGGTTCAAGCATTTCAGGAATTCTGGCCATTCTCTATATGGACAAACTTGAAACTATCGCGCTTTTCTCACACCTCTCCATAACCCCTTACAAGAGATATGTCGACGACATCTACCTACAATCAACTAACGAAGAAATGGCAGACCAATTCCACCGCACAATAAACCTGCATCCAAAATTGAAGTTTGAAACTGAGAAACCGGAAATAACACCTAACGGTCACCAGTTGTCGCTACTAGACTTCGAAGTTACCATCTCTAAAGACGGCAAAAGCTCCTTTGAGTTTTACAAGAAAAAAGCTAAAAAAAACCATTGTTCGTACACCATTAATTGGCTTAAGTGACACTTTTCTCCCTTTTATTCGGCCCTCGCGGAATATTTTATCTTATCCGTCCCTGATGAAGTTGTTAAGTGGCGAAAGCTCGGACTTCTACAATATTTTACAGTAATTCAAGGCCACATTAGTGTTTTTATTGTTTTTCCCAAAATGTTACTGAAGGACAACATTCAAAGATTGATGAACAGCAAAGATTGACGAACAACCTCATGTTGGGTGTGCTCTTGCTAAAATCCGATCCTTTAAAATCATTATCTGCTTATTTTAAGACAATGAGATCATAACCGCTGCGAAAATGTAACAGTTTTGTCTTTTTTTTCATTTTTTAGTAGTTTCATATGCTCATTAGAGCGTTGATGAATCCATTCTATCTGCCCTCCGTTAGATTAAACGCGACTCCTGGGCTCCGGCGCTGAGTTACATTAATATTCTCATTCTTTCACTTGCTGGCTGGCTTGATATAATTTTTTTCTCGCATTTAGAAAACACCCGTTACTTGGTGGTGGATTGTGGAGGGGGTACAGTGGACCTAACGGTACATGAATTAGACTCACAGACCGGTACCTTACAGGAGCTCCACAGGGGCACAGGAGGGGCCTGTGGGGCCACTGGCGTAGACGAACAGTTTGAATTGTTGCTCAAGAAAATCTTCGGGAAGGACTTCATTGAACAGTTTAAAAATAAGCGACCTGCAGGTTGGGTCGACTTAATGATAGCTTTTGAGGCAAAGAAACGAACTGCGAGTCCAAACAAGACAAATCCACTGAACATTTCGATGCCGTATTCCTTCATCGATTACTTTAAAAAACACAAAAGCTCAAGCATTGATTCAGCAGTCAAAAAGTTTGGAAATCCAAACGTGAAATGGTCTTCGCAAGGAATGTTGAGAATTGCGCCTGAAACCATGAAAGAACTCTTTGATCCCGTGTTGAGCAAAATTGTCGAACACGTCAAGGACCTCATAGGTCGAGAAAGTGTTACGGGTCTAAAGTTTCTCTTCCTTGTAGGTGGATTTGCTGAGTCGCCGTTACTTCAAGTTGCTTTGCGCGAAGCGTTTGAGTCAAGTATGAAAGTAATTATCCCCCAAGAAGTCGGGCTAACAATTCTCCGAGGCGCGGTGCTCTTCGGATTGGATCCCACTGTTGTCCGAGTTCGGCGGGCTGTCATGACGTACGGAGTCGGAGTCCTCAATCGATTCATTGTCGGAAAGCACCCAAGAAGCAAACTTGTGAAGAAATCGGGGGTCGAATGGTGCACCGATGTGTTCGACAAATTTGTAACTTCCGACCAGCCATTGAAACTTGGAGAGAGTGTCACGAGAAGTTATGCGCCTGCCAAATTAGGACAAACTTCAACAATAATAACAATTTATTCCACAGAGGAAGAAAACGTTAGTTTCGTCACAGACCAGGGCGTCAAGAAATGTGGACAGTTGCTTCTGGAGATGCCAGAGGTGGAAAACACTGATACCAAAAAACCGAGAGAGCTTAAAACGAGTATGATTTTCGGTGATACTGAGATCAAAGTTGCAGCTGTGGATATTCTGTCCGGCAAGGAAGCGAGAGCAAGCATCAATTTCTTATCCCTATGAAAAAGGGCGGAAGATAAGGAAACAATCCGCAAATTAAATGCTTGATTTGGTTTAATCAACTGAGTTGATTGTGCAAATTGGCCAACGTAAAGACTTACTGCTGATGTTGATGTTTTGAACGTCAGCCCCCTAAAGTCGACTTCGTCAGAGCGAAAGACCAAGGTCGAAACGTCAGCTTTCTTTTTACAGCGGCCAGTTTAAATTAGCAATTTAGTTGATAAAAACAAATTATCTTGCTACATTCCCCACCGATGCAGCACCACAACTGCTTCAAATCCTACCCTCTTAATTCATTTTTTGTATTTAAAATAGTTTTTGCTTTAACACTGGGAAAATTAGTAAATGTTCGAATGGAAGGCTTGTTAAGTTTTATATAAAATTGATGTAGCAAATGAAAACCAGGGTGCGCGAAAATTTTCAGAACTTCATCTCATTTGAATAATTTATCAATTTCTAGACTGTACGGTATTTTTAAATGAAATACCTGGATTTGATAAACCCACAAACCTTACATCAAAAGACAAAAGAAAAGATTCGCTTCTTACGTAAAGGAAATAAGAAAGATGATAAAATTTTAGCCCGGTGGTGGAATAAAGAGGCGCTTTGTTCGTCTCGTCACGAGTGTGTAACAACGAAAACCTCCAGTCACCTTTTACAACTGATTTGAAAGGCAATATTTGAAAAACACTTCAAAAGGAGAAACAGAAAAGAACACAGTATTGTTGCATAGGAAGTCTTAATTTTAGTATGAAGCCAAGGAAGAGTCTGTAAAACGTATTTAGTTTTGATACTTGGTTAGCATAAATGATTTAGATGATTTGTTTCCACCCTCAGCTCTCCTGCTTTTTAGAACTCCATGGCGTGCAGTGAATAAAAAACTACATTTTGCATTTCATGGGAACAATACCTTCCACTGATTATTCTCTTTGTCATCAATTCCATTTTCAAACCTTTGTTACGAAGTAGTATCATTTTAATTTTATGTGGTCAAACTCAACACCGCTTGATGATTATTGATTTCTTGCAGAGAAAAGCCAAGTGCTGTTTGTGCCGTATTAAATTTCCCTGATTACAGTTGGTTCTTAAATATTCTCTGAGAAATTGAATAACTGTGATCAGAAAGTCAAAATATTTTTCATGTCCTCAAATTTGTCTCTTGGATACTAGACTGTAGCTAAGTTCAGTTACTATTTGAGATCAAGCTCTCCTTAGTTCCACTGCCACCATTGAAAAAATTAACTATTGCATTTTATTTAACTCCTGATGTCATTGCTGAGCTTAAAAGTGGTTTCCATCAACACAGAAACATAAATTGGTGTAACCCTTTCAATCGTCAGCAAAGAAACCCTATGTTTTTCATTAAATTTGTTTGTGAACTGATAGTTGTAATTTACATCATAAATAAGAATACTTCATGTTATCAATTAAAACCTTGCATTATGATCTCTCCAAGCTTCTTTCAATAATGAGGTTGTTTCTTCAGCTAAATTCTTTTATAGAATTTTTTAATTCTAGCAGCAAAAGATGTTTTAGTATTGTCCTTATTAAGCCATGCACTTTCTTTACCCTTGCATAACATGACTAGTATAATAATATGCCCTGGTTTTCTGCTAGGCTCTCTGTCACTCTTATTTTACAGCATATGATAAAGCAAGCTGTTGCATGGCACTTAATCAAAGTCTGGAATGTCTTCAAATGAGTATCCCCTATAACCTTTCCATGCATAGTATGCTATTCTGACATGATAGAAGCCTGGGATGAACATTAGAGAACCAAGGATCAACAATGGATAAGTCCGATCAGCATACTGAAAAGGTAATTAAGAGAGAAGAAAAGTCAAGATAAAAAGAGGTGCTAAACAAACAATAGCACAGTAGGTTTAAATCTCAACTGAGTGAGTTTTCCACTTGCACTAAGATGAAATTGTGATGTAAATGCTTTAACCGCATGCAAATTCACAAGAAATCAAACCCATCAATTTAAGGCATTTGTGACCTGTCTCCTAATTATTTAAAATATAGGGCTGGTCTTTTAAAGCCCACTTTTGGCACATTCCAACAAAACTTAGACAAGCTAATAGAAGAGAACTTCATTATACTGCTGGCTCTGCAAGTGGGCAAGATAAAGTGAATCCTGCAATCTGACATGCTAGCCAAGCAGGTAAGTTTGCCAGTTTGGGTTTAAACCCTTTGATTCCCAAAAAAAAAAGAGAATGAATATATATAGCCCATTTACAGACTCGCTGACCTCTTGTGAACTTAAATTTGTAGTATGAAAAGACTTTCCCAGCTATTTTAGCATCGATAGATTCAACAAAATGCCTTAAAAAATTCTCAAAACTAATTTTCACGGGAATGTGTAGAAGCTACAGGAGAGAATTAACAATAAGAATCCAAGCAAATTGCATCCTATGCAACACATGAAATTGATGGGTTATCACTTGTAAAAACAGTACACACCTTCACATCAAAATATCCTGTGAAAAGTAGTGATCCAAACACAAGTAAGAGAGTTCCCACAGAAAATAAGAAAACTGCCAGCATCAAGGCTTTCCAGGGTACCTTTGGGGGAGGCTTTCTAAACTAAATGCAGAAAAAACATTGTACACATCATTTTCATTACTTTGTAAATTTAAATCAAAGAGTTGCTGGTAGAGGTAAGTTTTCCAACTCAAACCATAAGGAAAGGTGCAACCCTCTAACCAATGAGTACAGTTGACTGCCAACAACTATCACTTGGCTCTGATGATGACTTCCCCACAGTCACCACTTCTGACAACAGTCCTTCTCAGGACTACACTCAGCTGAATGATCATCAAACTACACTACCACATGTTACCCCTGGGTTCAAACCATTTACTGCACATGAAATTGTGTTATAAGTATGCATAAATAAACCCGAGCAGTCAACCAGAATATGCAACAGTTTCGAAACTTTCACCTGCTTGTGGCTCAAAATTATAAATTATGCAGAATTTAAGCAGAACCAAAAATATTACCAAAAACTTATAAAATAAGGAAAGAGTTCCATATAACCCCATACATTAATTATGCATTCCATTTCATACCCTGCGAGCAGAGTCTTTTCTTCTTTTCTTCCTTTTAACCCTCCAAGGGAAAAGGCTCTGCCGACATCCTGTTGTTGCTTTGAAATGCTGAAAGCCCAAAACTTTGGGCTACCCAAGCCGGTTTTGCCTCCAGTCAAACCGGTTTTAGTGCACACGCCTTTGTTTTTCATGTGCACAGATGACCAAATCTGCACCCACAATAGTTCAAGGGGGCCTGGAAAAGGATTAATTTCTAGGTAACCACCGCGCAAGTTCAAACGAGCAACAACAGGATGTCGGCACAGCCTTTTTCCCTTTTCGATTCGAGGACGGGTTAAAAAGGCTCTGCTCGCGGGGTATCCATTTCATAAAGACTAAATATTAAGGTTTCTTTGCCACACTCTATGCATAATTAATGTATGGGGTTATATGGAACTCTTGCCTAAAATAATACAACAAAACAAAATCACAAAAAAACTGCAGGTGACAAATTAAAACGTAACAATGTTTTGTAGTCAAGGAGATGATTAGTACCGCGAATGGTGTCCCAACAAAACTATTTCTTCAAACTAAATTCGTTCTTATTCCACGGGGTTGCGAGTTAATTTATTTACTTTATTTGTCTTTTCGTCTCTTACACGGGTCCTGACCTTAACCTTAAAGCTTAATTCGAATTATAAAGCTGAAAAAGTGTTACAAACCTGCGCGTCAATGTAGCCATCATCGTCAGAAATCTTTTTATACTTCACTTTACTTCTAATAATCGTTGTAGGCATATTCTAACGCACCTAAATTAACTGAAGGCCCAGCTACTCGTTGATAGCCCGTGGTAAATAAATGCCAGATCGAAAGTTCTACATACAGGAAATACAGAATACAAACGAAGTCTGTAGATTGTAACCTCGCCTTCAAGCCGAATCAGCAGCAGAAGCCCTGGGTACGAAATAATCAGATCAGACAAAAAAAGTGAAAAAAAAAGGACATAGTACAACCTTTAAGACATTGGAATTAGATTTTTTAGAATTTTTACAGTAGCTTGAATGATAGTACACCACTTTCCAGTTAATTTCTTGACGAATATCTTAGTTCGCTAAAATCTCTTGTTTGCCGATGTTGTCATGGTTCCTGTTGTAAACATCAAGTAAACTTCGAGGTTCCGTGAGCTCCATATTTGGCAAGCTGAGCCCACGAGCGTGAGAAAGTTGTTTGGGAAGAACGTAATTTTTCTGATTGTTAGAAATATTTAATTTTTTTTACATCCATTAAGAGTATTTTTGTTGATCCAAAATAGAGAAGGATGGACGGGGAATGCCTTTCTGTTACCGTGGTGGACAGGGTGACAAAGTTCGATACTCTTGGTGGTTATGTTTTCTTGGTGTTTCTGATATGTCTTATCATTGGGTTCATTCTTGGTCTTCTGTTAGCGCGATGCATTCTAAGGGAGTTGGAGGTAAAGTTTTTCTCTCATTTTTCATATAATAATTTTCTGCTTATGTCTACACATATCCTTCATTTATGTGGAATGTGTCTTTTAAGTCGTTTAAAGTGGTTTGCTTATTATGATTATCTTATTTGAAAATGGTATGTTTGTAAAAGGTTTATTAAAGGCTTTGGTAAATGAGACTATTTGGGTACGAATTCATGTAAGAAGTAAGAAATGTCGCAGTGGAAATCGTTACTAGAATATATATGTAATCTTTGACTCATCATTTCGCTTAAATCTCTATTATTTACTATAATTTTGCAAGCTATTATTTCTACCATGATTACTAATAATTATCATCGTTATTATTATAATTATTTATTATTATTTTGATCACAGATGTAATAAGAGGGCCCCCTATACTTCTCTGTAAAACTCAGTCTTGTAAATATATTTAACCTTTTGATGCATCAAGAATAATATCCAAAAAATCTTTCACGTTAACGAGAAATTTTAAACAATCACGTCGATTCGATGCTTTACTTTTTCTATTCTTGACTAGAGAGGACATTATTTCTTATCTTAATTTTTCAAGAACCACTTGTGGTCTGTTTTATGACTTCTATCAATCCATATGAAGTCCCTGTACAGTCAAAAGATTGATATAGAGAGAGTTAAGTGTATCATGGAGTAAGTCTAGTTTTAATTTGTTCAATAAAGTTTGGTCTAGCTCATAAAAAACTGTGTGGTAGAGTACGTAACATAAGGAAACATGGACTCACCCAATTACATAGATTTACATGTACTCTGATTTTATACAATTTAGGAGCAATATTCCCAAAGGAGAAGTAAATCACAAACTGAAGCAATTCTTATTGAAGTAGAGAGTGAAGTTAAAATACAAGAGACATCTGGAAAGGTAAATACTTGAATTTTATATAGTAAATAACATACATTATTACACGACTCGGGCAGTCAGAGGGCCAATAACTAAAATTAACCAATCAAAATGCTCTATTGCCGGTCCAATATTCTCTAAGTATTGGACCGGGTACTGTCCCGAATGGTCCCGAATGATACCGCACTTGTATCCCTTTAAACTTCAGTCGTATAATAAATCTCTTATTAACCAAGCTTGCTCGGGACCGTAATGGAAGAATATCAGCACTCGGTCTTTTTTGTACCTGACATCGCTACGCTCGGTCCGTACTGTCAAGTCCTCAGGCCGATATTTTCCCAATACGGCCCTCGCGCTTGGTTAATAAGATATATGTATCAGTTAACTGCTCTGAAATTGGTTAATGGACTTTATTGAAATTGTCAAATCATTAAAGCACTGAAGAACAACGTCAATAGGGATGTGTATGGTTAATAATTCTCAGTAAGTGTTTTGTTTTATAATCTTCAACTTCTCTTTACCTTTGTATGTAAACTGCACCTAAGAAAAACACTAGTCAAGGTTTAATTCAAGGCAGATTTGAAAATTATGAGTGATGCATGTAATTCTCAGCAGTTAGAGTGTGTCTTAGCCATTTTGGCACACATGTATGTCTTTTTTGACGTGTAATATTGGGTGATTGTGAAGAAGAGCTCCCCAAAAAACCTGTCGGCCAACTGTCGGCTGTTTGTTGGTTGACTGTTGGCAGACAGTTGGCCGTTTGTCAGCCTACTTTTGGTCGACTGTTGGCCAACTGTCGGTCGACAAATGGCCAACTGTCAGCTGACAGTTTTTCGACAGTTTTAGTCAAAAGTGTCGGCCGACAGTCGACCAACAAATGGCCAACAGTCGTCCGACTGTTGGTGACCTGTTGGTGGAGTGTTGGTAACTTGTCAGTTACAACGTGCCGTAAACTGTACCTTATTTAACCATAAAAGGGAATCGAAAAGATACGCTACGTACTGTATGGGAAACTTTAGTATGTACAGTCGTTGTAGAAACCAATCCTAGCACGAACACCACCAAGAACAGCCAAATTTTCAACGTGTTAACTACAATCTCGCTACGAGTTATTTGTCTGCCATTTTGAAATGTGTACCTAGGTCCCAGTCCCCCTCCAATTAACTAGTAATTTTGAAGTTGAAATTATTGACTAATTTATTATGCTTTAATTATGTTGCAGATAAGTTAAATTGTTTTTTACTGTTGGTCATTGACTTTTGCAAACTTGGTGGCTCCTAAAGGAGCTGTTTCTTGAGAGCAAAGGCAACCCCTCCACTCATATCCTGCTAGTTAATCATCTCAGAAAGAAATCTTTTTACCATCGGTCAATAAGTAGGCTAAGCTTAACTCATGTTTATCGGGACTATTATAATTTCTGGGTCATGTTTAATTACTGCGTGTTTTCACACACAGTAGCTTGTCAGTAGCTTGTTGGTTAGCTGTCAGTATAGCCAGTGTTTGTAACCTGTCAGTAATCTCTCGGCCGACAGTTGACCGACAGTCGGCCGACAGGTTTTTTGGGGAGCTCTTCTTCACAATTACCCTGATGATTAGTTTGAGTGGATGATATTTTATGATATAAATTTTAATTTACCTGTGATGTTTAAAATAACAACTGCTCCAATTATGTCAAACCAGTTATTTCTATTGTCTCTTTTTTATTTAAAATAATGAGATTCCTGTTGTCATTATAATGTTCTCAGAAAACAATAAAATGTGTAAGAAAGCCATTGATAATTTTTTTTTTTATCACATAACTAGAAAATGGGTAGTAACAGGATAGCTCCAATGCCTGTGTCAACCAAAAATACAGCTGATGTTGCTATAGAGATGGAACCAACCCACCTTAGCACCGGTAGTCTTCACAGTCAATCAGCTTGGACAGGAAAACAAGATAGCAACAACTCATCAATTGCTTATGCACTGAGCAAATCTTCAGGGTAAATTTGGTTCCTGAGGAAGGGTTATTTTTCAACTTGATTTAATTTATAGAAGTTTAAAAGTAGCACAATGATGCAATTAGTTGGTACCAGTCAGTGTAAATCTCTTTGCCTAACTTACACATCTAAAGAGCATTCAAGCTGCAATTATGATAGCTTTCACCAACATCTTAGGACCTCAACTAGGTTACTCTCAGGGGGTGATTAAAGTGTAACTTCTCTTTACAAAATCAAGTAGTTTTGTCAACAAACAGGTAATGAAAACTTGTACACATTTGTCAAATCTATCAGCCAGGGGGGATACTCCTGATATAAAGTCAAATTCATGAACAAATGCTCAAGGAGATGCACATGCAGAAGATAAAAGAGAAAATCACTGATCGGATCTTGGAATTAAAATATTAACTGAAAGTTTGACTCCGGCTATAAGTGTTTTTGAATAACTGTACAATCATGGTAAATATTTTGACATTGGCATTGCAATGACATCTTGTAAAACATTCCTCTGAAAATTATAATCTTGGAATGATCATAACAGTACCTAAATAATCCCCTCCTTCCTTAAGTAAATAAAATGTTTTATCTTGAGGGATGTTTTGTGATAATTATTTGTCTTTAGAGAAGAGATGGAAGTTGAAATTCAAAAACAAGATTTCAAGTCAATTGAGGAAATGGAAACTAACATCCATCTACAGAAGAGTGAGGTGTGTTAGATCATATTTTCTTCTTGAGATCAAACAGTTAAGATTTTTTATTCATAAATAAAATGTTTGGGACTAAGAAATGCTGCGAGAGATCACAAACTGAAACAGATATTATTGTTTTCTTCACTTTAACCCTTTTAAGCTCCTAGGAGTGACCAAGACAGGTTTTCTCTTCGCAACATCAATACAATATCTGAAGTAGAAAAGGGTAGGAGACAAGGGGATACTAGTTGATCCACTACCAATTCCTCCAAACTAACATCAAAGACATTTATGGCAGTCAGTGAGGAGATTTAATAATTAATCAAAATAAATAAGATTATGGGAGTGAAAGCTGGGTCAATCATTTAACATTTTTTGTCCAGATCTGTCTTCTTCAGTGATGTATGTAAGTCTCTGATGAATTATTAGAGGAATTTTTAATTTATTGTTAAAAATTTGCTTTCCTACACTCTGTTGTTGATCTATAAAATTCATGTCAACCTCTCAACCAATCAAATGTAAAACTAAAACCAATTTTAACTCATGATCAGCCACTTGCATTATCCTCTTCATTCAATCAAAAAGGACTTCTGGGAACAATCTAATCACTATAGTCTTGTATTTCATAATTTCCGCAGACATTCCTACAGTTGTTGAAAATGATTTTGAGTTTCTTGATGAGCAAATCCAGAATAAGTGAAGGGTTTCGAAGAGATTCTTTGGCCAAGTATGAGCAGGTATCATAGACATCTCATTTTTTTTTATTTACACATGATTTTATATGTAGGTCTGTTTTCTTTCAGAGACTTTCAAATATCTATTAAAAGGGATAGGTGCTATATGGTAACCCAAAAGTCAAAAGATAGGTGCACAATAAAAATAAAAGTTACTTTTTGTCCTTAGATTACTTTCCTCTTAACATGCTCAAGCCTACCAATAAATTTGTGCCTCTTTTTTGTAGGCAATTGAAGACATAGACAGGAATGCTAATGAAGAGATGAAGGTTGAAGAACAGGTAGTCTGTTGAGTTATACTCTAATCTTTGGTAGAGTTTTGCTGTTATTTTGTGGCTTGGCCTTGTAAAGAAGTAGTTAAGGGTTCATCTTTCCTAATTAAGTTACAGTAGCAGAACTATAATTACAGAAAAGAGGAAACATTCTCCTTCTAATTTTAATTGTTTGGGTTTGCTGTTTGTTTTTTTGCTTTATTTCTTTGGATTAAAATTCTCCCTATAATTTTTACATTATTCATAATAACTAGCTTTGAAAGATTAGGTTACAAACAGCTGTATGTTTCTTAACAACCACAAGAGGCTGACAGACAAGAATCATATAGTAAATTAACCTTCAAAATTTCAGCCCCTTGACACTTTTCTCTTCTTCAGACACCTGTTTTTGTGATTGAAATAATTAACTTTAACCATAAAATTGATACTTACTTATTGTCAATAGTATTACTAGTCACTATTGTTTGAAATTGTCTGTTGCAAACCAAAGTAAGATAATCAAGTCAGAACAATTTATTATAAGATAGTTGTTTCTTAATAGATATTTTCCAAAAAATTTCCAATTAAAGGAACTTAGAACAACCATTGTGGATCCCATGGAGCTTGATCAAGCAATAGAGGGTCTGCATGCTAAGTACTCTAAGAGAATGGTGGGTATAAATTTATTCCTAATGAGCTTATACCACTAGATTTTTAAGTATTTACAGTGATTTTTTGAGAGAGATTTGTATTCTCAAGAAAAAAAAAAATATTTATTTGTGAGTTAGGAAACTCTAGTAAGTGCTGGCACATTTGACACTGCAATGCAGAACAAAACCTGCAGTGTGACATTTTAAAATTATTTTTGGACATCAAAAATAAATTTTAGCTTGACTTTTACCAAAGATTTTAAATTCCTTCATCTGTGTTGTATAATTTAACAGGCTACAGAAAGAATGGAACTTCAGGAGAAACTGAGAACAGATCTCTTGCAGGACACTGAACTGTCAGAACAAGAGGTGAGTTGGAGTTTGGTATGAAGCAATCACCACAATTAAAGTTTGCAGGATTGACATATGTGCCACATTGATACTGTCAGTGACTTTTGTGAACATCATAGACTATTCTCTGTACATCGATAACCTCCTTTTCTCCACTAGCCTAATTGTGACTGCTTAATGGGGGTTTGACAATTTATATTAGACAACTTATTCCTCTGTTAATGAAAGTGAGATGACCACTAATAAAAGAATTCTGATAGATTTTCCAAGTCAAGTAAATATGAATCTCCTATAAAACTTCTTTTACCAATCAATACTAAAAGTAACTATCCTTTATTTGTCAGATTAGAGTATGTGGTGGATTGTTAAGAAATGAACTTTCCCTTTTTCTGCACAGGCAGAGCAGATTGTTGCCAAACTCATGATGAACATGGCTGCCGTAGACAGGAAGTTGGCTGAGGAGGCCAGCAGGCAAAACATGGTATGCTTCTTGCTTAGAAAGTTTTGAAACAGTGGGTAGTTGATAAGAATGATATTTTTCAGTTTCAAACATAAATTTATTTATTGTTACATGGAG